AAGTTTAATTTTTATAGTTTAAACTACAATCTGTTGTCAATATTAACTCCATCCTATAACAACAAACTAGATATAGACCCTGCTAACAGTTCTTCCTCCCTTCTCCCATGCGTAACTATGCCAAAGAAGAAGAAAAGCAAGATACGTTATTTTTATTTATTTATTTTTTTTTATCCTTACCCGAGGATATTTTTCCATTTTTTGTACAGATAGAGTGGGAGGGAGAGAGAGGAAGGGGGAGAGAGAGAGAAACATCGACGTGAAGGGACACATCGAGTGGCTGCCACCCGCACGACCAACCAGGGCCGGGGACAAACTGCAACCGAAGTACGTGCCCTTAGCGGGAACCGAACCCGGGTCTCTCCGGACCGCAGGCTGACGCTCTAACCGCTGAGCCAAACTGGCCAGGGCAAGATACGTTATTTTTAAAATATAAAATTAAACTTTAAAATTTTAAGGTCTCTTAAATTTTAAAGAAAAAAAGTTATTTATTAATTTTTAATATTTTGTTTTGTGGCAGTGTTAAATCTTAAAGTACCACAACAAATTGTAATGTTAAGTAAATCAAAACCACTGGCTTATATTTGGGATTTAAGCAATTTCCCCAATGCAGTACTATCAAAAGAAAAGTCAGCACATGGGATTCTGTTTAATTCCGAGAGAAGAAAAAGAAGAGACATTCCTCTTAAACACCCTGAAGCAAGCAGCAGTGAGGAAACCCATTCCACCTTGCGGACACCCACTCCCAGACCGTGTAATTTCCCTGCCTTCCCCAGGCGAATGCCCTTGTCCTGCTCTGGAGCTCATAACTAAGGGGAGTATCAGCATTCCTCCGTCTATGTCCATCCAACAAACATGTACGAGAGCCTGCTACTATGTGCCAGACTTCACAACTGTAAATCCTCACAGAGATCAAAATCTATGGAGACAAAGAATCACACACACAAAAATAACTGCCAACTATGAAAAAAAGGATAAAAAGGTATATGATGAGTACAATTTGGTCAGGCCCAAGAGTGGAGGAAAAGGCATTTCAAGATGATAAAAGGAAGGAAGGAATGAACTAAGTTTGCAAGGAATGAAGTACAACTGGACATAGTGGGCGAGGAGGAGAGTGTATGAGGAGGAGGAGGTCTGCAGGGCCTTGAGGGTCACGTTGAGGACTGGATTTTATTCTAAGTGCAATCAGAAACCACTGTTAGGTTTGTAGAACTTCATTCCTTATCACAGTCATCAACTTCTCTGCTCACATTTAATCAGGAAGCTTGTTCTTCAGCTCCACCCAGTTCCTTCCAAGGCCCAGGCAGTTTCAACATCCAAGACTTACTTCTCAGTTATTCGACACCCTGGCCCCCAGTGACCGCATCTCCACCTCAGGCAGGCCTCTCCTCACTGTTTCCTCGCCCGACTCCACTGCTAAAAATCAAAGTCCTGTATGTTCTTCTCAGATCGTAACCTCTCACCAATCCTACTCTTCCACTCCCCACACCTATCGGGTCTGTCTCCCAACCGTTAAATGTAATCTGAATAGAAAAAAGCACAATTTCATTAGAATAAAAAGTTATTACTATTTCTCCCATCCCTACCAAGGCACTTAGCACTTAGGCTCCTCCATTCCTATTCCCATGCTGACACCCACATGTGTGCACTTATATACACAAATAAAGAGATGCTTGTTTTGATTACAAAAAGTGAATCATCTCAAGTACATAATTCTGTGACTTTTCTTCACCTAAAAATAAGAATCATGAACAAATCTCAAGCCAGCAGATAGATCGCTTGCATTCATTCTTTAAATTGCAGCGCATTATTCACGGTACAGGTGCTGCCTGTGGTTCTCCTCCAAAAGGGACTTCTCTTGCTTGCTGCAAAAATCTTGCTGACCCTGGAAAACCTTGAAGTGCGCTGTGCCCTTCAGCGGAGCAAAGTGCTTCCAGGTTTTATAGGTGGAAAGGAACTCACGCCTGCGGCTGAAAAGGCTGGGAGCAGGATTACTGCTCCTAGCACTTCAGCACAGGGTGGCAGGTCTCAGGCCCACGAGACCGAAAGCCATCGTGCCTTTCACCACCGGGTCTGCTGCTGCCCAAGAAACACGCAAGGCAGTCTGCTGGCAGGTACTGAGGGAACCGCGGGCATGAGTGGGCATGGGGCTTGGAAAGAAAAGGCGGCCAGCGGCACAGAAACCGGAGACGCCTACCGAAGCAGACCCCATGGAAGAAACAGAGAGAATTGTAATGAAAATATAATGGAATTACAGCGCAAAAAGTGAACACTTTCAGGAACTAAAAAAATGATTTCTTAATTAGAAATTCAATATCCAACAGAACAAGAGAATGACTGCCCTTGTGAACCACATTGGTGGTCAGAAAAATCAGGTAGAAGAATACACCTCACCAGAAACCCTGTGACGGACACCCTGAGAAAAAAGGCAAGTTGCATGAAGGTCAGATCCAGCAGATGAAACGAGGAGGAGAAAATGAACATGTGGAGAGGTAATAATCACATAAACAATGGAAGAAAACTTTTAGAACTTAAACAAGTCATGAGGCCTTGAATATCCAGGATGAACAGAACACCTTGCCAGCCTATCAGTCCTGTGGGGACAAGGGCACTCTGGGGCAGTAGGAGGCTGAAGGCAAACACACTGCTGAGGGACACCAGGGCACTGACTCGGGCCTCCCTGACACTGGTTCACACACCAGAGAGCCCAATGTCTGCTTAATTCTTCACATGGAAACATTACGCACAGAGATTGTTCAAGTTCTCCCAGGGTCTGGTAAACTCCCTTTGTCATCTTGTGACCCTAGGAGCTGAGTACCAGCCTTAGGGATTGTGCCATAGTCTTTTCCTTCCAGTCTGTCTAAAACATTGGTACAGATTTTTAAATGCCATATGCACAAATTACTTTGATACAAATTAAAAATATGAAAAAGAGAATGATGTAGCTTGGCTGGTGTGGCTCAGTGGTTGAGTGTCAACCTATGCACCAGAAGGTCACCAGTCGATTCCTGGTCAGGTCACATGCCTATGTTGTGGGCCAGATACCCAGTGTGGGGCATGCAGGGGGCAGCCAATTGATGCTCTCTCTCATCAATGTTTCTGTCTCTCTCCCTCTCTCTTCCTCGCTCTCTAAAAATCAAAAAAGAGAATGTATTCATAGGTGAGGTAAATGCATGACTGTCAGACAAAAACACTACCTTTGTTTATGAAATATATACAAAAGTAGTATGATCCTAATTTAGAGCAGAAACTTGGATGCCTGCCACTCACTAGCTATGTCTTTGGACAAGTTACTTAACCTTTTTGTGGTCTGGTTTCCTGAAAAGTAAATGGAGAAAAAGTTAATAGCACTTAACATAAAGATTAAATGGGATAATATATGTACCACACCCAGAACTCTGTCTGGCACATAGTAAGTGCTCAATAAATAATAGCACTGCTGCTGCTGGGCAGCTGCTCTTCTACTGCTTGCAACAGGAAAAGAGCACTGTACACAGAACTTTAATTCTGGAATCAGAAGACTTGAGTTCAAATGCTGACTTTACAAAGTAAACATTTTATACTACCACCATGGTGGTAAGCCCGTTTTCCACGTCTAAAATAGGAATATGAATACCTCCTCTTTTTTTCATCTATCCATCTATCCACAAACATCTACTATATACATACCCAATACTGTGTAGTGGCTGAAACAAATATGAATAAATAGGGCTGTACCCTAAGGAGCTCACAGTCTAGTGAACAATACTCACAAACCTTAGTTTCCTTTCCCCTGAGTATATCTTAAGGCTCACTTTGTTTCAGGAGATGAAAAAAGGACCACAAGGGTCAAAAGGGTCAAGCATGTCTTTTAGTACCAAGAGTACTATGATTTAAAAAAAAAAAAAAGCAACATTGATATTGTTAGTAAATGTAGGGGGAAAATGCAGTGAGTTTCTGAAATTACTGTATTTTGCTATTTTAAGGAAAATACTGTGAAGCAGTTGGGTCGTTGGGAAGTAAGCCCCTGCAGACGACATGGCACCAGAGAAAAGCAGGCCCCATGTCTGATCGGAGAAGAGGATAAAACATCTTGGGGAGACTGACTGAGCTTTGTTTGTAGCTGCACTGTGTAGTCCTCGCCTCTTTGAATGATCTTTTGAGACCTGAGTGTCCTTTGAATAAACAGCTCTCAAGCCACTGTCAGAGCAATCACTGTTATGTGATTCCTTGTCCACTACATCCGCCCCCTTTTAGAGCATCCTGCCTTGGCACGTGAGGTGGGAGACTGTGGGAAGCAAGTTCTTGGTATCTCTTCTACATCATCTAAAAAATAAAGACCTTATTCTAAAGCTTCTTATTGGGGGTGCTTATTTTCATCATCTCATGTGAGTTGGCCCTGGGACAAGATGTTTTCAAATGTCAGTTGGCATTTAATAGCGACGACTTAAAATTGTATATTTAAAACCTCACAGAAATTATAATGGTATCTTAGCATATACCTGAAACAATATTAAGTACATCAAGACACGGGGCATCTTTAAAAGTATGTAATTATGCCATTGTTAAAAATTAATATCCAAAATATTTTCCTTTATTATATTAATACATATGTAGCTATACTATGTAAAACAATGATGTGCATTATTTCAAATCATGTATTTGGCACATAATTAACATAGATTTATTACAAATGCACTTGGATGGTGGTTACAGACAAACACAGAATTATTCTGGCTTCTTTTGTGTACGTATAAAAATATTCTAAAAACCAATATAATTTAAATAGAAATTAAACCAGAACTAAGTGAAAATTACCTAGCAAAAAATGAATGCTAACATTTATCTTCTTTTAAGTTTCAATTGGATAATAAATTATGTTTTAAAAATCTTTACATAAAAATTCTAATACTACCACCCACAAATCACACAGTATACCATCAGAAAGTATTATTTTTCAACTAACCACTTTTTAGACTCACAGTAAAAACCTACTGCTTATAGAAAATAAATTCAACAATTTATCCAAACATTGTTACATAAGAAGATTTAAGAAACTGTAAATAATTCTTAATACTCTCGTTTTGATTCTCCGACTTTTCAAGACTATGTTGTATTTCTTTCAAACATACTTCCTGGTGTTGTGCTTCCTAAATAAAAAAAAGAAAGAAATATAATCAATAATGACATTCATATCAAAGGATAGTCATAACATTTATATATATAATGACTAGATGATTTTTAAAAGAAAAAGTCCTAACATCCAATGTGTTTATTAATATCTTATCGTAGAACTCACTTCTCTTTAAAATCCAGAATAACTAAAGCCAAGTACATGGCTGATACTTACTGTGGTATACTTTGCTGTAATACACCTTCGCTTAGCCCCAAAATATTACATATTTAACATGATCAATTTAATAAATGAGTTTTATTTAAAACTGTCATACTTAATTTCCTCTCACATCTAACATGACATATTAATACTAGTTTCTGCCATTTTCTATGCCTAAAAATTGATATTTTACACCACTAGAATGACTTTTGCTTAAAAATGTCTTAAAAATTGACAAAATTCTAGTTTTGATAATATAAACATTTTATTTTTGGAATCTTTCATAAATAATTTAAAAAGAACTATTAGTATTACAGGTGCTCTTTATTTGAAGAAAAAATTAAAAACCTAATATACTTTTAAAATATCTTGTTGCATATAAATTTCCAAACAGATCTGTTCACTGGAAATATTTTGGATAGACAGGCTGCAAATACCATTTAGCTTCCAACAAAATGTAGGCACCTTGAGAAGAAAAATCTTTTCTCTCCCTCCCATCAGGTGTTCAATACCTGACACCTTCTGAAACTGAGCACAGCTCTATGTCCCCCAGGTGAAGTAGGGTGGTGTGAAGAAATGTGCTAGCCTGGCTACACAAAGTCACAGAATGAATATAGTGAATCTCTGTGGAACATCAATTTTACTTAACTTAGGGGGGAAATACTAATACAAACACACATATTTGTTGGGTAGAATGCAAAATATGCATACATTTATGGATATCACATAAGACTCCAAAGTCATTTCAGGCTTCAGGAAGGCTGGCCTGGGATAGGCTGGTCAAGTTGCCCTTGCGTCTGTGCATCCACTCTGCCCTCCACTGGAACACTCGGGCAAAAAACCTGCAGAGACCTTACACTGTGGGCAGGGCACTGCGGCAGACACCAGAATACAATCGGTTAGGAGACAGGCTCTCAGGGTGCTCACGATTCAACTGGAGCTAAGGCATGTATACAAAAATAAATATTGAACTGCCCACTGAACTGTTCCCTGGAAAGGAGAGAATATATAAACTCTTTTTTCAGTAATGTCTAAATCTATGCTTAGAATTCTAGATATTTACTACTATAAAAATTATCAGGTTCAATAGAACATCAAATGTTAAATCTATTTATTTGGGCAGCTTTCGCCAAGTACTGGGCGCATTATTGCAAAACCCATCTCATCTTAATGTACTTATTTTATTTTTTCAGAAGTTTTAAGTATATAAAGAACATCACACACATTTGCAATATCAGCAACTCTGAAGGTGAGTAAAAACATTTTTTTTTAGAAATAAAGGGAAGGCCTGTGCTAAATTCAAAGTGGAAAATGTTTTGTTCTGATTAAATTGCCATGGAACTTTTGATAGCGATGAAAATAGGCTAATATTGCATGCCACAAAATCATTTAACGTTTGAACTTTCAGGTTTTCAACTTTTAGACATTTGGGGATGAAAAATTAGTTTTCATGGAGTCTTCAGCTCCTTGAAAAAAATGCAGTGTCATTATTTTATATGTCAATGTTAAGTAGATAGTTTTCAAGTAATTTAGTCATGATTGGTGCTAATTTTCATAGCATCTTATGCCAGTTGGCTATTTCACAAATATTTAGGAAAAAACGTTAGAAGACTAATTAATCACAGCCAATTTGGAATTGTCATTTCATGGCTGAGTGGACCAAAGCATCTATCTTATATGCAGATATAATGATATTGAGTATTTACTTAATGCCAACTTTTAACTTTCTAAAAATATAATATTCATTATTCAAGACAGGATCAAAATCTAACTCATAATAATTGTTTAAATTGGGTTTATCTTGAAAAATTCATAACAGAAAGAAAATAAGTAGATTATATCTGTAACTTTCATTAAGCAGCTGTCATGTAAAAGTAATATGTAGAGAAAGGGCCCAAAGAGACTTTGAGAGAAATGTAATAGAAGCTACCAAGGATAAGGATAATAATTCTTTGGCATAATCCCAACATTTTTAATTTTTGTGATTTATATTATTTGTTATTTGTAATAGTATACGTAAAGAAATAGCCCTGACTTCCCTCACTTTGTACTTTAACTGTTTAAGTAAACTAACACGGTAAGAATGCTAAACGCTAATTTACTTCTTATGAAAATACATAAGCCATACTAATACTTACACTGTTTATTTTGCAAACAAGTTGATTTTGTTCTTCATTTCTCTTTCTAAGCTCAGTTTCCAGATCTAATATTTTAATTTGCAAAGCCCTCTCTTTAGATGACATTTTCTCTACTTCTTCAGAAACCTGTAATTTTCATTAAAAGAGTAAAGTAACTAAATGTGCTTTGTTTAAAGTATAATTTAAGGCCCTGACATAGTTATACTATACCTGTTTTTTCCAAATAGCTATTAGTTGGATGCTAGATAATTTAACTAGAAAATGTTTAAAGTTGTTCTATAAAAAAACACATATAGTATAACTTCTTGCAAAATGACCTGAGATAGAAGAAGTGTACATATTTGCACTGCTCTGTGACTTCAGTAGGTTTTCTCCCCAATGCTGTATTTTTATATCCCACTGAGACCAATTTCCATTTTACAGTATTTATATTCACCATGGTGTCCCGAGTGTTGCTGGAACATAGAAAGTTCTCATTCAATGCTGATTAGACTTGGATGGAGAGAACTGGAGGCAAGGCACGTGATATATACATTTCACACACACACACACACACACACACACACACACACACACAATGTGTGCGTGCTCGCGCGCGCACAAGATAAATTTTTCATTCATTTACTTTCAAAGTGGTCTGAATTTGAGTTCTCATATTTCTCTGTTTATTTAGTATAAAGCCTAGCTTGGCTATGTTCAGATATGTGGGAGCCTATTTGCAAGAATGGTAGGTTGGAGCCACAAGAGTGGAGGCAGGGGCTAGTTAAGGAGCAAGGAGTTAGTGGGAAGGACTGTCCTCTAATCTAACCCCTATGGACTCAGTTCTAAGTTATTATAAAATAATTTACAAAGATGTCTTATGCACAAATTCTAAGGGTGATTATGACTGAGGCGTGCTGACAGGGTCTGAAGCTGTGGGAGAGAGCCCTCAGGACAAATATCCGTGTGCTTGACCATGTCCCCCAGGATGGACAATGGTGACAGTGCAGTGACAGCATGCCTCAGGGGGCAGAAACGAGAGACACCCCACAGTCCCCTGCAGCAGGAGAAAAAGGAAAGGGTACACACATCTCTGGAGAACTGGTACACTTTTGAGTAAAAATCTGAGATTATCTAACATTTCCAAAGTCCATTTAGGCTGAACCAAAATAAAGTCACTTCTTATTTTCCTCCCAAAGGTCGGTGGAACTGAGAAATCTAGATTACAATTCTACTGTTGGTGGTACATTTTACTATTTAGCTTTTATTCAATGATGTGTCCTTCAGCACATCTATTTAAATTGATTTAAAAATTCCCAGAGTTAAAAAAAATTATATGATATGTGATATAAAATCCACATATCAAAGATACCAGATTTTATCAAACTCTTGTGGAACTGCCATTAACACACCTTGGAAAAACTTGGTGGAAGAGAGTTTAGAGGAAATGATTCCGAATTTTGTGTTGGACATGTTAAGTTGGAAATGCCTCTGTTAAATGGAGATAGCAAATAAGTAGCTGAATACATGAGTCTAAATTTCAGAGGACAGAGAAGTCTAGGGTAGAAACATGTATCTGAGAGTTACAGGGTATAAATCATTTCTTTTTAGCATTATTTGATCCTCTGAGGAAACTCATCATCCCAATTTTATCAATTAAGAAATTAAAGTTTAGAGAAGTAACTTGTCCTGGGTCAGGGTATAATGTACCAGAGACAGAATCCAAACACAGTTCCTGCTGGACACCAAAGCCCACCTCATGGCCTTTCAGGATTACATTTTCAAATCATTTCACAAATTTACCTCTTCTTTGAGATTTTCCTGAATCATTTCTCCTCACCCCTCCCCCTATCCAGCTCCTATGTGCTGGACGCCATTTGTTTGTTCACATGTCATCTCCCTCCTGGACTGAGTGTCCTGAGAGCTGAGGCCCAGTTTTATTCATCTTTGCATCTCAGGACTAGTAGAGACACACAGTGAGATAGTTACTAAATGCTAGCCAAATGGATTTAACTGGAATTTAATTATTGCGTGTATTTATTTATGCAACAATATTTCCCAAAAGAAATGGGAGTTGAGCTTTACAGCTCACTGGATCCTGATCAAAACCAAAGTGTTCAATAATTTGCACGTTTGCTTTGGTTTTATTTTTTTAAAAGGTGTGAGTGGAGAGTACTCCTTCAAAGTGCTTTCCCTCCTTGCCCTTGACCCTGCCACATCACCATTATCTGGTAAAGTAACTCTGGACTAGTAAGACATCTGTTTAGCTCCAAAAGACAAAAGTAGGTAAAAAACAAAAATGTAATTGCTCCTTTTACCCTGTCATCAGGATCAAAACAATAACTCTAGGTTTGGCAAGATGAGGTATTGCCTGTTTAAAAGAGGACTCTTTGGTAAACTAATTAAAAAGTTTCTAAATAAAGGCCATCTGTACCTTTTGTCTTCCTTGTTCTAAAGCGGCTTCCAGCTGTCTGGCCAGTGCTGTATATTCTGCAGACTTCTCTTTCAGCTGAAGATTGCTGTGCTTGAGACATTCTTCTTGGCTTTCCAGCTTCTTTTCAAGCTCTTTATTTTCTGCTTCCATCTGTTCTAATTTTCTTTTCACAAAAAACATATATTTTAAAATTATAGTGGATAGAGAAAAAGATAACACCAATTTTAAGCCAATTTAGTACCTACTGTTTAAGGTATTCACACTTCAATTGAATAAGATAATTTTCCTCCTCCAGAGAAAGCTCTGTCAGAAGATTGTGATTTCTATCCAACTAAAAGAGAGAAAAAAATTTCTTGGTTATTTTCTTTACAATCAATTTCCAAAGCAATCTATAAATTTTATTGTTAGGAAAATCATAGAAAACAAGAAGAAATAAAAATTATTACTTCTACACAGAGAGACACCAAGAAATATTACATTGTTAAAACACAAGTTCTTAAATTCCTGACTAAGTTTAAAAGAACTATGCTGCCTCATGGAAAAGCACCTACCACATATTTTTCTGAATGATGGCAATTAAAACATTATGAAAAATGTTTTATTACAAAAGGACATTTATTTATTAAGTGTGAAGATTTTAAAAACTATAGAATACTTTGGGTTACCTTTATAGTTTTTGTTTGTTTGTTTCACCTAAATAGTGATTGATAATTGAATATCTGTGAAGTTGTAACTTTGACTAAAAAAACTTATTTGTGAAACGTAAATTAAATTAACAAGGAAATCAACAAAAGATACACTTGCCCATGTCAAGACAAAATGTATCTCCCATTGCTTCAAAAGCTATATTTAAATAGTTTCAGAAGCTCTGAAATAAAAAAAAAATTTCTCATAATTTCAATTAGTAATTATGTAATTTGACATTTTCCTAGAAACCTCTTCTCAGGAATTTAAATTCAGCAAAGTTTTGTTTGCATGTTCTTAAAAATAGGATGCATTTCAAAATTAAAATCCAAACTACATTTGGAAGATAGGGAATCATTTCTAAAACTGTTTTGTAAATACTTGTTACCATCCTTGGGCATGCTTCTTTGAAAAACAAACAAAAAACCTATAATTAAAAAATACATTTATGAAGTGCTGACTACGTGCTAGGCATTGAATTAGAAGATGGTTATGTGGTAACTAACAGAGTATCCATGATCCCTGTTCTAATGAAGTAAAAGGTGTACTGTCAACAAAAGTTGGAAATAACTTAAATAAACTTGATGCACAATTCTAATTCAAATAAATTCTAAGTCTTGTGAGATAAATTACAATAATTTATCTTATCCTGACATCAAAAAATACATATGTAAACATATCATTGCTCCTTCTCTTATGCTATTTACCATGTCCTCAAATGCCTAAATATAGATTCGCATGAATAAACTAAATCAGCAATTCTGGTTACCAATTTTTTTACTATAAAATGATCAAAGAATTGTTTGCAATATAATATTACAGTATCTGCATAAAACTGGTATTTTATCAACTGACTTATATGGGAGTAAAATAAATCAACCCCCTGACATGAGTGCCCTCAGATGGGGAAAACATGTCTTTAACACATCTAGCAAAAGTAAGAATGATGGTGGGACACCTGACCCTGAAGCTCCCTAATGGTGTGTGCCTGGCTTGCACACTTCCCCTTGTAGTGCTGCACACTCTCCTGACACTCCTGAAGCCTCCGTTCCGTCGCTGTCAAGGAATCGCGGACGTGCTCTAACTCCTTCAGATGAGACTCCATCTGGCCTCTCATCTGAGTTGTAGCATTAGGGAAATAAGTGTAAGATCACACATTCAGCATTAATGTTTTTACTATCTTAAATACTATATGTTTATAATATAATATGTGTTTTAGGTATAATGGTTGTAAACAAACTAATTCTACCAAATAAATATGAATAAATATTAAGTTAGGCTCTGCTAAGTAAGAACATATAACTCAAAAGTGGGCTATACTTTAATTAGTTTTCAAAAAGTTTGTTGAATAAATGAAGACAGTATTATTAGCTTGCAGGGAGAATGTTTAACCTACTTAGCAAAAGAAACTTTTGAATCCTGTCATTTATAGTGCAGTGTAGGTATTACTGATAAAGCTGGTATAGTAGCTTTCCACTATCCAGCCATCATCCTAAAGTGACTGTCTAAAGTAATTGTCATTCAATCCTGTAACTCAGATATTTCCATTAGAGCAGCCTTGCGGTACTCATCTTAGTCTAAAGCAGTGGGGCTTACTGTGTATTTTAAGATAGTTAACATCAGCAGTCCTCTCAGTAGACTATTTGATCATTGATGTTATTACAGAGTAAATCTCTCTAACTGTATCTATGTTCATCTCTTTGGCTGCTGCAGTTCCTCACTGTAGCACTTTTGTAGAGATGTGACAAGAAGCAACCCCAAGATATGCTTGTACTGTTAATTAAGAAACAATAACCATTTAGGATGTTCATAGGGAGGAAAAACAAGAGCCACCTCTTCCCCTGTCACAGGGACCACCTAGAGCTACCGTGCCACATCTGGCATTCTTAATCACAAAAGATAAAACTAGAACAAAGCATACCTCCCAAACATCTAAGAGCCCATTAGAAAAACAGGAGACTTAAAACAGTGGAAAAGAAAAAAGAAAAAATTTCATTAAAAAATAAAAAGGACTTTTCTGGTTTAATACCGGTTAGAAACCACTGTGACCTCACAGTATCTGAAAAACTGAGGTTCCTGCTCCATCTGCCTTTTGAACAGGTTTTTAAAATAGGCTTTTATTTACAGTGCTGCCTAGCAAAAGAAAGACATTGGTATTGGTATTGGTATTGGCATTGGCATTGGCATTGGCATTGGCATTGGCATTGGTATTGGTATGCTCATGAGAAAAAGAGACCAAGAGACATGAAATGATTTCTTCTCTAGTGTGCTAAAAATAGGAAACACAACCATCAGAAAATAGTAAATTGAACATTTGATGGGTTATCTCTCTGCTGAACTAGCAGAGTGCAGCTCTGGCTGACCTCTTCACATTGGTGCCTCACTTGAACTTTTTAGTCCCAAGATATAGAGAAAATCCTGAAACAGAGACCTTACTACACCAGTTGGAACTGAGCAGTAACACCCATGACTTCTCCAGCCAGGAGCTAGCATCCCAGGGCTTGCACTGCTTCCTTACCAAACAACATGAAAAGACCCAAAAAGGGATGTGGTTTCATTTACAAACTTAAAAATATTCACAAAAACATCAAAACTTGCCAACATTGGCCTTCCTCTCATTCTGTTGCAATAGGGTGAAAAAAAGGAAATGATGGGTTTTTTTCCCAATGATATTATTTTTCTTCCAACAAAGAATTTGGCAGAGAATATTTACTTTGCTTTTTTAGACACAAAAGATTTACTATCAGAAAAACAAGGTGAGATTAAAAATGAGAGGTATTCAAGTTTGCATACTTACAGTTGATGAAACTCAGTGATAACCATTATTTTTTAGCTATTTAAGTCTCTTCTTGAGTAAAAAAAAAAAATTAAATGTTTATGCTATTTCCAAATATTAAGGAAAAAGTGAAAAAACATTCATACAAACAAACACCATTTCAAGCCTGGAAGAAACATTATTTCCTCAGAAAACACTCCTACAGAGATTGAGAACAGAGAATTCCAAGGTCTAAACTAGAGAAAATGACCACACCACAATGAAAGATATTTGTGTAATATTCATAAAGTCTAAAACATAAATAAAATATTATTTTATTATTTAAAATGTCAAACTTACTTTCTCTAATTTTTTATTTTTGTTTTTTGTTATTAGGTTATTTTCACTTAGCAAATTTTCACATCTGCTTTTCACCATTTCAGCTGTTTCTTGCAACTTTTGTATCTGAAAACAGAATACATTATCAGAGTAACATGTATTATTTTATTATTAGGACCATAATATGAAATAAAAAGCTGAATATTTAAATTTTCAATTTTAAACAAATCATTATTTCCCTCAGTATATTTATCTAATTTACTCCTTATTTATATATGAGAACCACTCAATGCTCTCCTATGATCCACAAACCTTTTTTGATTTACCTGGTATTTTCCCAGCAATACTTCTAGACCTTCACTTGAGCTCTGAATACTAGAGAGATCTTCATTTGCAGGTCAATGTCAATGTAAAGAATCAGCCTTTGGTTCAAACTAGCTCCCATACCAATTATTTTACCCTCCAAATCAAAATCTGCTAAAAAAAAATATCTGAACATTTTATACAAGGCCAGAGCCTAGAATATAGTGACTCATCCATGACATTCCTGCAAAGGGATTGAACCAAACAACCAGCTGGGATGACATGTTCTATAACACGTGCCACTGACCACCACAGCCTCCATTCTTACCTCTGGCCTGGAGGACTAACTGGATATCTCAGCTCTGTTTTCCCATGTCAACCATCCACATGTCCTACTTACCTACACTATGTCCCCCTTAAGCTTTTACCTTTATTTAGTTCATTACTCTTTAATTCAAACTCTTTATTGACCAGTGTGTACCCATCATTCACAGACCTCCGTGAGTCCCATCTTTCTCATGAAGTTTCTTGAATACTACATTTCCAAAACACAAGCTTTTCTAAGTTACCACTGACCACATGCTCTATTCCATACATATTGTCATATGTTCATCCAGGTATTTCATGGGAGTAAGTTTGAATTATACTTTATTTATTGGGAAAAAGGGAGTATTGGGCTTTAACAACCCTAGAAAGGAGTCATTATTCTACATCAATACCATTAAATATACGAGATGACAAACAGATACAAACATGATAAACAAAATTATACATAAGGTTTCCATTACATCTATATAATTAATTTTAGATATATTTTTAGGAATATCCAACACATACACAGGCAATGGATGTTTGAATTAGGAATCATCAGAATCATCTACTTATAAAAAATATGTGGGACCTAAAGAAACATTTGGGACATGTCATGTTCTATCACAAAAAACAGCTTCACCTTTCTTCAGTTCTATTTCTTTAGATCATAAACAAATGCAATGTTTTAAATTATCTACCAAATTTAACAAACATTAAAATAAATGCAGTAGTCACCTGAGTTTTATACACTTCAATAAGGGCTTTCTGTTGTTTTTCTACTTCTTGCAATTCTAAGAGTTCATTTTCAACGGAAACCACCTCGTCCTTCAAAGTAGCAAGTGTAGTCTAGTAAGGAATATATACACATATATTTTAAATCATTAGAATTCATTTGTCCTCCAATGCTATAGGACTATAAAAATATAATTCATTTATCAACAGTTAATAATTATTTTTATTGTATATAATTACCATCTAAAATTTTAATTTCAAAAAGTTAGTAATACTTACAAACAACTTTAAAAGATTTATGCAAGAAATATTTTTAAAACTTTTAAAATTTATTGACAAAAACTTAAAAAATAGACCAGGTTCCTAGATGGGAAGACGCATACCAGTTTTTTCCAAATCAATAAAACTTTAATGCAATTTAAACCAAAAGTATAACAGTTAGGGAGTGAAAATATGACAAAATTAATTTAAAATTCATATGGAAAAATAAATATAAAAGACTAATGAAATTTGGAAAGAAATATTAAATGGAGAAGCTCAGTACTTACTAGATATTAAAATGTATAAAGAACTAAAATTAAGATACTAATATAAGAATATAGAGTCTATTAAACAGAAAAAGAAAAATGTACTGAAATTATATTTAGTATATATGACAAAGGTTAGATTTTTAAATCAATGGGAAAAATATGGATCAGTAAATAATGGTAGTAACACAACTGTTTAACTAATAGGAAAAGTAGATTATTTACCTCCACCCGACACTATTTTTTATATTTATTAAAAATAAAAAAAATCAGCCCTGGCCGGTGTGGCTCTGTTGGTTGGAATGTCCTCCAATACACCAAAAAGTCTCAGGTTTGACTCCCAGTCAGGGTACATACCTAGGTTGCAGGTTCACCCCTGGCTGGAGTGCACGTGAGAGGCTCTCTCTCTCTCTCCCTTCTTGTCTCTTTCAAATCAATAAAAACATATCCTCAAGTAAAGATTAAAGACATACATACACACACACACAAAACAAAGCTATAAAATTTTTCACAGGCAATGTTTGATATGAGGATATGAAGAGAGCAAAAACCCTACTAAATATAAAAGCAAAAGAAGATATCAAGAACTGTAAAGATCTGAGATTTTACCCTCCAAGTTTGCAAGTTAATCTAGCACAGTTTCATGGATTCCAGCAAAAAACACAAAACTCCTAGGTTAGAGTCACAGGACTTTACCACTCCCATCAATAACAATGGCCAGATGTCAGCATTTGTGTTAGTTTCCTAAGCCTCAGTTTCCACAGGGCAACACAGAGAAGGCCAGATGACACCTGTACATGTAGTGGGATGCATTACAGAAGAGCAACACTAAGTTGAGGAAATTCAAATATCTTATAACAGGCAGTCATCATGCCTACCCTTTGGTAGAAGGATACACTGCTATCTTCCAAGCATTTGCAAGCAAGCATTGCTATCTTTCTCTATACACACTGAATGCTTACTGAAGGGCCAAGGACAGCAGCAAGAGAAGACTTAAGATGATGGCTTTAACCAGGATAACAACAGTGGTGCTGGGGAGAAGTGGTCAAATTCTGGGTATATATGAAGTAGATCTGCTGACAGACTGGAAGAAGATGTGAGAGAAAGTTTAGTCAAGGATCACCAAGTAATAGAAAGGATGACTGCCATTAATTGAGATGAGGAAAGTGTAAGAGGAACTATTTTGAGGAATACATGTCTATTTTGGACATAACTTTTAAATACCTATTAAATATCCTAGTAGAAATTTCAAGTAGGCAGTAGACTATGTGTATGGAATTCAGGGGCAAGGTCTAGCCTAGAGACACAAATATGAAAGCCTCTAGGATACAGATGGCATTTAAAGGCCCAACACTAGATGAGATCACCTATCCAAGTAGTCCAAAATCCCCAAAATTACATATATGCAAAAATAGTAACACCAGTTATCTTTGTTGCGAGGTTATAGGTTATTTTAAATTTTGTTCTTTTTGTGCTTTTCTGTTTTTCCAACTTTCTGTAATAAATAAATAGAATTTTATAACCTTCCAAATAAATGTGTTCTTTTTAATAGAGGAGATCACTGGGCCTTGGAAGTAATATCAATTAGCTTCTTTTTCATTTGAACCTTTAAAATCTAAAATTATTCTAAAGTAATTAAAAATAACAAAACATGACATCTAGGCAATTATATATTATAAATAACATATATGTCAAACATACCTAGATATTTTTCTTAAACAAAATCCAGAGAATACATTAAAAGTACATGTTTCTATATTATTAATAAAATATAAATATAAACTTTAACTTGATGATGTTATACCTATGTAACATAAAATCCCATTTCCATGTAATTAAAAATTAGACTTATAATTAATGAAATATCTACCTAATCCTTTCTCTCTGAAGGATATCAAGAAAATAAACATAATAAATATAAAGTTTCTTCTTCCTGGATAAATCATTTTAAGCATTTTTTCAATAAATATTCATTGAGAGCTAAGTATATGCCATGCTTTCCCTGGGCATCCTTGCTTACAAAGATAAAAGTTTATAAGGAGAGATTCATCCTAAATGAGAAGATTTGGGAGTGGGGGGTAGATTTTGAGCTGACCTTTAAAGGAAAAGTTAGATTTAGTTACTGAGAAAAACAGCATTCCAAACTGTAAAACTAGTTAAACTATAGGAATAGTTACAGAAAAATATGAACAAACTGCAGGAAATAATGAGTATTCATATTTGGCTAGAATGCAGAATAACTAGTACACTACATTCCCTAGTTTCCCTTACAGCTATGTGGGGCCATATGCCTAGACATACAAACCAATCACACTATGGATTTGATTAAGTTGGAAAATTCTTTCTGGTTATGAAGCAGCCAAGAACATACTTTTTGGCTTCAAACAGACCACGTCTGAGGCTATATTATATCATAACCATAACACCTAGAAATAATCTTATGCAGAAAAGTTAATGTAATTTTAGATGGTTCACTTAATTGCTAAAATTTAAGCTTAAATACATTTATTTTTTATTTTTTATCCTCACCCAAGGACATTTTTTTGCATTTATCTTCAGACAGAGCAGGAGGCAGAGAAGGAGGAAGAGAGAGAGAGAAACATCGATGTAGTGAGAGAAACATCGACTGGTCGCCACCCACATGACCCCAACCAGGGCCGGGGAACTGTAAACGGAGGTACATGCCCTATGCGGGAACCAAACCCGGGACTCTCTGGTCCACAGGCCAACGCTCTAACTGCTGAGCCAAACCGGCCAGGGATAAATACATTTTTTTAGGTTGCAACAAAGAGACAGTTATTCAACTTCTTAAATCTTATTTAATACTGCTGAAAACATTTTAGCATGTATCTTTATACACAACTATAAAATTTAATACCTATATATAAATATGTGTGTACATATATAAGTATATATGTATATACAGACATATAGATAGACATAGACAGATACAGATTTTTAGAAGTTATTTATTATGTAACATTTTAATACTCCGAGAAACACAAAGGACAAAATAAGAGAATTATTCTAAACATACTGTTATTTTAAGCTACTTGTACTAAGTAGACTAATTTGTCATTACATAAAACACAAACACACACACAAACACATAGTACCTTTAATTTTGTATTCTCGAGATTCAGAGTTTCACTTTCATATTCAATTGAGTGAAGTTTTCTAAGAATCTCTTCACATGAATTTTTCCCATGGTCCTCCATTTTCTTCAAGTCTTCCAAAAGATTATTGATTTGCCTTTATAAAATAAATAATACATTTTGTAAAAGGTATTGAAATTTTCATTCAAGGAATACATTTTAAGTGTGTTTCTGAAATTATTTTGGTAGAGTGCGCAGTTTCAGAAGTTAATAGAACTCAGAGAAAAAGAGAAATAGGAAGCAGTTATCTATGTAAAGTTACTACCTAAGTAACCTTGATTAGAAATAACTACCCGATGATAATGCCAATGAAAAATTACACAACATTCTCTTTGCTATTCAACAAAACATCCAAACTATGATCTACAGATATATCTGTCTGTCTCTTCTCATTCACACACATACAATTTCAGGACAAAGTTAAATAAAAGGATCAAATGAGACAATAATTAATCTTTAGAAGCAAATTATATACTGTTTTCAATTATAATTCTGAAGAAACTATATAGAAAATAAGACCTTTAAAAGCAAATATTCAGGGTTCATTGCTCGTTTTTCAATAATAATTTTTAAAGCATAAAATACATGTATTTTTATCATTTATTTATTTTTGTTATATATTTAAAGCATTTTAAGAAACAATAACTATTAGGACTTTGAAAGCATTTATAGTTTTATTATAAACTATATTATTTATTCTTATACATTTCTGTTTAGTAAGGAAATACTACTTCCAATTTAAGACAAAGTTAGTGTTAACATTTACTGCAAATAATAGATAATACTAAACATATATTCAAATACCAAATATTAACTTACAAGTACAAAATTTTGAAATGTGAACACCTATGTTCTTTTAGTGGGTAATCATTTTTATTGTATGTTTAGAGTAAGAAAAGTTTATAGAACTATAAATAGGAAAATATCAAATCATATAGAAAACACTATTACCACATGTAATCCAGAAGAACCAAGATATAAACCACTCAAAGAACTGAAAACACTTATACAGTAAAATGATTCTAAAGTTTTTTTCTTACTTTTTCATTGTTTCGATCTGAACTTCCAATTCGGTTTTTTCTATTATGATTTTCTCATAACGACTTTTCCAGGCATTGGAAGCTGAAATTGCTTCAGACAACTTGGCTTCCTAAAAAATACATAAAGTACTCATTGTGAACACTTTGGTTGTGTACAGGGCCCTAAACACAAGTATGTTTTAAACAAGGAAACATCCTACAAAGCACAGAACTTTTGTTATAGAAAATTTCAGTGTGCAACTCTGAATATAGAAAAGATTTAAAGTCAACTTTAAAGTTATAGTATCTTTACGTTACTATTGTTTTATATGCATATAGTGGCAGTTCCAACTTAACATGTGAAGGGATGTGGTTATAACTATTTTAAATGTTTCCTAATGAATGAAGATAATTCCCTTTCTGTTTACTGAACTTTTCATTTTGCATTCTATATACAGAAGATAACTAACAACCAGATAAGCACCAGAGGAGAAAGAAACCCTCTGGTGTACATAGAAACGACCCACAATTCCATAACTCCACAGTATTTAATAATACAGCCTTATATTATAATGACGCCAAGCCATTCTCCAGAGGTCACCTCCAATGTCCTGCAAACACTGTTGCTGTCAGCAAAGAGATGAAAGTGGTAGTGGTGGCTTATCCACTTTGAATGTGTGCTCCCAGAGGTAGAGATCTCTGTTTGTTTTGTTCATTGCTAGTGACTTGAATAGTGCCTTGCATATAGCAGACTCTTAATAAATGCCAAACGAATCTACTCTGCAAATCCTGTGAGCAGGATAGCCATTATGCCATATCTACATTCTACAGAAAAACAAATTCACTGGAATGATGGCAGTGCCAATAATTGCTAATCAGAAGTACGGCAGTCCCTCCTTATTGTCTAGGGATGGGTTCCCAGACCCTGAGTGGATGCCTGAAAACACACGGTACTTAACTCTGTATATACTATGTGTTTTCCTGTAAAACATACCTATGATGAAGTTTAATTGGTAAATTAGGCACCCTAAGAGATTAACAACAACTAATAAAATAATTATAACAATATACTGTAATAAAAGTTATATGAATGTGGTCTCGCTCTCTAAATGTCTTATTGGACCATACTCACTCACCCTGCTTGTGTTAATATGAGACGATGAAATGCCTGATTATGTCGAGAACTTTCACCTTTTCACTTAAAGGAAGCACTTTATGGCTTCTCTTTGGCATATCAAAATTACCAGCATCACCGCTCTTGCACTCTGGGGCCATTGTTAAGTAAAATAAAGATGACTTGAACACAAGCACTGCGATACCATGACAGTCAATCCGATAACGGGGGCTAAATAAGTGACTAAAAGGCAGGGAGCGCATACAGCGTGGATATGCTGGACGAAGGGATGATTCATATCCCAGGTGAGACAGAGCTGGGTGGCACAAGATTTCAGAATGGCGTGCAATTTAAATTTTATGAAATGTTTAATTCTGGAATTTTCCATTTAGTATTTACAAACAACAGTTGATTGAGGGTAACAAACTGTGGAAAGTGACTCCACAGCTAAGGGGGGACTACTATAGTAATGGTAACAGTTCATCTTTATTGGGTGCTTCCTCCTTTCCTTCCACCATTCATCCAGTCACTGAACAAACACTTATTGAGCATCTACCGTGCACAAGACATTTTATGTTCATATTTTTACGGTTACATTTTTACTATATTGAAGAAAAGTACATATTCTGTTTTCAAATTCTATGTAAAATGAATTTTAATATGCACTATTTAGTGTAAGTTGGGTAATTATGTTATAACATAAATATAGTTAGAAATTTTACCTATAAAATAAATGCTATGAAGCAAATTTAAGACAAGATGTGGTTAATTGTTGTGGGACTCCTTCAAAAGGAGCGGTCAAGGAAGGCGCCTCTGAAGAGATGTCAATTTAAAAGACACCTAAATGATTAAAAAAGGAACTAGCTAGTGTGAGCCAGAGAAGAACATCACAGCCAAAGGCAACAGCAAACAAAACAGTGAAACAAACTTCATGCATTAGAGAGGTGGAACGGAGGCTAATATTGCAAATTATAGTATGGCCACACACTGTTTTGAGATATATTTTTCTCACTTTTTTCCTCCCTACAACCATATAAGATAGGCAGTATTATTATCCCCTATTTTGTAGACAAGAAAAGTCATGAGGTTAACAAGCAGAGAAGCCTTCTATGCTATAATTTGGGGCCTGGGTAATAATGACACTATTTAAATAGAAAAATCCCAAGAATGTTAATCACCTTATTGGTTTTTATCACTCAAGAATATTTTCAAGCATTCAACTTGGTCTACAACCTTCTAGAGTTTGAACCTAGTCCTCAATTCTCTTATCTAGTTAAATTCTTCTGCATGTAGGTAGGTTAAGTATTAGTCCTAAAATGTCAACACTTGAACTTATAAAATACTATGTTGTTTTGTTTACATACGTGTTTGTGCAAGTCTGTTTTCATTTCTAAAAACCTCTAATAATTCTGTAAGTCTTAACATAAGGTTCTAAGAGGTGGGATACCAGTGAGACATTAAAAAGTAAATATTTTATTAATTGGTATTTGAATAAATATAATAATTCATGAAAAACAACAAAGCACTAAGCCCATTTTCAACTTTGTACTACACACACAAAGATAACTTTCACATGGTGTGTTTACGTCAGAGAACGGCTTTAAACGCATTACAGAGATTAAATGAATTACTGAATAAAGTCATATGGTCTAATAACATAAATCAGCATTTCCCAAACTGGTGTTCCTCAGAACCAGTTCCAAGAGTTGTTTTGTGGGTAAAAGAAGAGTTCTGTGGTTGACTAAGTGCTGGGAAACTCTGAGTCCAGTGCCCTTCATTCCACTGCTTTACTTCCACTGCAGTCTTCCCAGGGCCTCTAACAGGCTCATGTGTGCTGTAAATTTCCACAGGGGAATATGTATGAAATGCCACCCCGAGTTGGCCATAGAAGCTTCGGGACACACTTAACATACCCTTTAAGTAAAGTTCCCACAGAAATGCTGATATAATTCAATATGTAAATTTGACATTTTATGTAATCTTTCAAAATAAAGACGAAAGCAAAAAACTATGAGTAAAGTTTTTCTAGTATCAGTAACATTAAGAGAAAAATAAAATTATATTAAGCACCATCACATTAACTTTATAAATTAAGTACATAAAATAGTTTAGTAAGAAAGAATGTAGCCTGGCTGATGAGCATCGACCCGTGAACCAAGAGGTCACTGGTTCGATTCCCGGTCAGGATACATGCCCAGGTTGTGGGCCTGATCCCCAGTGAAGGGCATGCAGGAGGTGACCAATCAATGTTCTCTCTCATTGATGTTTCTATCTCCCTCTCTCTCCCTTTCTCTCTCTCTAAAAAATCAATAAAGAAGAAAATTTTTAAAAGAAAGAATGTAAATACTAACCTGATTTCTAATCTGGGAAGTAAGGTTTTCAATGTCTCCAGTAAAATGTTCAAGCCTTCGTTTGTAAATTTTAGATGCCTTTTTTAGGGCAATAGCTTTCTGCTTACTCGATTCTTTCATTGCTACAGTCTCATGCTTATTCTTTCTCAGTTGCAAGGTCCATTGGGCTATCTTGGTCTCTAAGCTCTAAAAAAAATATTAGCAGCAATTAAACTATTTTAGAACTCCAATGTTTATGTAAACATTGCAATAATATGTAAATAATCTTCCACATAATGTTATTAAAGGATTCATCCTATGATTAATAAAAAAAACAGTGAAGAAAGGTGATTTCACCAGTGTTTAGCTGTAACCAGTTAGAGAATGCAAATTTAAAATACATAAGTCTACATAAAACTAACTAATGCTGCTCTTACTATAGATAACAATATTGCTGATTTTGGTACAAACACTAATTTCCTTGAAACTGTTGTGATTAACTAGAATGTCACAACTACACTATTACACATTGTACTAGTTATTTCGAATTAAAAAACAATTGAGCTGGAGACAATTCAAACAATAGATACATAAAGGTCAAAGGAATTGATAGCTTACCAAATCTATAGATCATGAAGGGTATGGATAAGATAAACATATAAGTATTTAACAAAGTTTAATTTACTGGAATTAAGGGCATGCCGTGACATTTAAAAGAGTTCACCAAGGACAATAAAAGTATTGCTTTACCCAGTGAGTAGTAACTTTGTGGAAGTTATTATTCTAAGACCGAACAAGGTTGGATAAAGGAATGACTATCAGAGCCGTAAGAGTTAAAGAGATGTTTGAAGACATGATCTATTGAGTTTGATGGTGTTAAATAGCATGACTGCTCTCTTGGCATATCTCTTGATGACAAGGAGAGAGAATATTAGGGCTGGGTTAATGATGAATGAATATGATTTAGTGTGACTACTCTCATGTTTTTTCCCCCACGTTATTTTAAGAGTTTGTATTTAAAATAACTCAGTATTAAGTGTCTATGAATTTAAAGACTTAAGATTTTAATGCTTTTACATTTTTTGAAAGGTGTAATACTGAAAAGAATGTAAAATTATTCAAGAATTTAGGTTTTAGTTTCCCACTGACTGGACAATCATTTTAATTTTTAAAAAATCAAAGAAGTCACAGTAGAAAATGGGACTTTACTCCTTAACTCAATGATCAATAACCACTGCATAGCTTCCACTAAAACTGAGATCTGAAACACGCTTTAAAGACTTGATTTCTTTGAAGACTAACTAGATAGACTAGGAGAAGCAAAACAGTCTTAAATTGTCTTTAAAAATCTATCTTAAACTAAAGAATCCCAGGAAATGTTTTAATAAGCAATTGGGGAAACCAAATAAGAGCAGTACAGTAAGTCCACTTAAGAGAAACAAAGACCCCACAGGAAATACAGTTGTCATTCCTCTACAAGACCACAGGATGTCATCATCACACCATGAATAATTGCTATCCTTTTAAAACACCAAGGGTGAAGTAAAATTTTTTGAACAAGGTTCCCATCAAGACTTTCTCACTAGATTTATCAAATCCCACACTTAAGCACTATTATGGAATATACTAAAACTATCAAATTATTTTTATAGTTTCAGAATAAATAACCCCTCATAGTCATTTGCCAAATAAACAGATAAAGTCAACTATCTGCCTTTTCACATTTCCAAAGAACTATACATACTATAAATACAATTTTTCTCTGTCTCTTCTAAAATGTGAAAATATTCCTACTCTAATTGCTGTATTATAAAGGTCAAGAAAAAAATGAGTTCAAAGTATTCTTGGGGTAGTATTCATAGAATTATAATGCAATTTATATTTTTAAAAGACCCAATATAATTAACAATACCTAAAAACTGAGATTTATGTTACCAAACTGAGTTCACTGTTTTAAGTCTAAAAGAATAACTTGTTAAACCTAAATCAAAGAACTAAATTCTGACCTGCAATTACTCTGTGCCTTTCCAAAAGTGTGTAAGACGGAATGTAGAAACATCAGTAATCCAATACAACTTCTTTTAACCATTTCTAAACTGCTGAATTTTTAAAAGTAATTTGAACTCAAAGTATTAGACAGGAGACTGTCATTACAAAACTCTTAGGATTTTGGCCTTATATTCTTTCCTCAAATTATCAAGATATAAAAAGTAATTGTTAACTTTAAAAAACCACTTAAGCCCTGGCCAGTTTGGCTCAGCAGTTAGAGCGTCGGCCCGTGGATCAGAGTCACGGGTTCAATTCTGGTCAAGGGCATGTACTTCGGTTGCTCTTTGATTCCCGGCCCTGGTCGGGGTTGTGCAGGAGGCAGCCAGTTGGTGTGTCTCTCTGGCATCTATATTTTTCTTTCTCTCTCTTCTCCCCCCCCCCCCCCACTCTCTCTGAAGATAAATGGAAAACTATCCTCGGGTGAGGATTAAAAATAATAATAATAATAGAAATAATAAAAAATCACTTAATATTTCATTTTTAAATTGAAGAAAATAGTTTCAAAATCTTCCCCAACTGTTATTTGAGGATATAGTTAAAAGTTATGTAAGTAAGAAAAATTGTAGATGATTATTTGAGGTATTAAATCACATGTAGTCCCTTGTATTTACCATCATGAGCAATGCAATAGCATCTCGAGTTCCTATGCAGTGCCCAGGACACAGATGCAAAGGACACAGGCTGAAAGTGCTTATAAGCACATGTAGGGGGACAGAGGACAAATTTTACATCCCCTATAAGCCCATTAATGTTCCTTTGATGGGCAAATGCTTTTTGTCATTAAAGGAAAAAAAAAAAAAACCACTCCAAGTGTCCTCTTGAAACATGTGCCACGGATTGCAGATGTCTGCTAAGATTCAGGAGTGCAAAATCAAATTTAACACAGAAGTCCTCACACTCAGTAGGGTTGTCTTTGTACACTTCTCTTCTGTAAGTGGGAACACTACTTGTGTTCCTCTGACAAAAATAACAAAATAGCAAATCCAGATAGATAGCTAGTGTCATACCATATAGCAACCTCAAATTCTTACTGCAAGTGACTGTGATGCTTCCTAAGAATATTTAAACCACTCAGTTTAAACCAAAAAATTCTCCTTATTTGTACTGCTAAAAAAACTGTATAACAAGGAGATTACTCAATTATCTAAACACCAAACCTAGGATAACTGATTTTAAAGTTATTACCATTAGTAACAAACACAAAAATTATAAACATGCATTGAATGCTTACTAAATATGTGTGAGAGTATGCACATATGCATAGATGTAAAAATGAAAAAAATAAAGTACTGGAATACTATATACCAAAATGTACACCCTGGTTTCAGTATTTTTGAGTTAATTTTCTCTTTAATATTTTACAAATTCTCCACAATAAACATAAATTATATAATGGAAAAGGTTTTGTAAGTAATTCAAGTTCTACAAATCCTTCCTTGAGTGGTACTAAAAAGAGATAACATTTTAATATTAGTATTTGAAGGCAAATCTTAAATAGCCCAGAAATATTAAGATTCAGATTCGCCTCAAATATGTATTTCCCATGGCAACACTTAAGTTGAATTCTTTCAAAACCACCAAATTCCAGAATTAAGGAAAGGCTTTGTAGTAGATCATTATTTTTATCACAAACTATAAAAATGAATGAATATTTATAACCTTTATGTATTCCTTTAATTTATCATTCTCTGCTTCCTTTTTATGAATTTGGAGCTGTAGTCGTTCATGAACTACTTTAACTGACTGTGAAAAACGGCTGGCTTTCAAAGCATGTTCCTAGAAAAGAGAAAAATTTTTTTAAATGTGTTATTTTATATATTTATCCACAATCTTTAACTTTACCTGTATTTTGACATGATCTAAAAAGCTGATAAAAAGCAAAGTGACACTTTCCATAAACTGTGACACCCCCTTCCCCATTACAGATGTATTTTATGTAAAGCTTTTTGGGACATTTTTCTCTTCCCTCCTTTTATTTAATGGCTCCTAATCATTATCTCTTTTTAAAAATTCCCATCTATGTTCCTAAATATAGTTATAGGTATGTCAAAAATGCTCTACAATACAAACTTACTCATAGTTGCTAACATACAGTGATTTAAACCAAGTACCCTGACAGAAACACCATAAAAATCTAAAAGAAAAAAATATATATATATTTAATTAAGATGTGCTACTTGATACATAAAATTTGTAAAATATCTAAAAACCTTCTTGAGTCTATTTCTGAGGATATGGGAGCAAGAATGGAAAGAAGGGAAAGGAGTCAAAATAAAGAAAATAAATGAATTAAGCTCAAAATCTGCTTACCTTTTCAGTCTGAAACAAACAAGAAAGTTCCTGGATATAAGTCTCCTTTTCAAGTACCTTCTTCTTAAGATCCTTCAGCAAATATAATGTTAGAGTTAACAATATCATAACTTAAATAATGTTGGCTAACTTTATAAAGCCAAGCAGCATAAAAACAAAAATGTCAGATGAATAGAGACAAAGTATAAAAAGACTCACCGTGTTTTCACTTTCATTATCACTTAGCTTTTCTAACATGCTGGATAAATTGTCACTTATCTGTGAAAAAACACATGCTATAAATCAGTGTTCACAAACTATATTTCTCTATATAAAAAAGGTAGAAAGTGGAATAAACATCAATTAAGAAATATGAACAATTACAGTGCACAGTGCAGATTTTTTAAAATGTTAACATCAGAATAATTTTTGCCTGTGTTCCAAATCATGTTTTGTTCACAATTCATGATATTAGTTAATTTTCTAAATTAATCTCTAAATAATGCCTCAGAAAGTGCAGGCCAATGACATAAAAATCTTGTATACAGAGGAAGCTCACAGTGCTGTTAATAAATAGGTAAAAATTATAAACAATTTAATTCTACCAATAAGAATTATTTTTAATTATGGTAAATCAGTAACAGAATTCTATGTAGACATCTGATGTGAGAACACAGAAGAAAGTTTATTCATTTTAGTGTTATACTGTTTGAGAATGTGGAAAAGCTATGGATTCCTTTCACCTACACACATATAATACAAATTATATATACAATTTCAGAGAGTTCATGGACTTTCATGAAACCCATCTATATACTCTAGAAGGTCACACAGTGGAATTGCTTGGCATATATGTTTTCATTTCTCTGGGTATATACAGCTTATAAATGAATCCTCACAGCAGTTTTATTCATGACAGCCAAAAAGTAGAAAGAAGCAACTTAAATGGCCATCAACAAAAGTGGCATACTCATACAACAAAATATTATTTAGCACTAAAGAGGAATGAAGCACTGATACATGCTACAACATGGATGAAATTTGAAAACATTATTAAATGAAAGAAGGCAGTTATGAACAACCACATATTAAATGATTCCATTCATATAAAATGTCCAGAATCAACAAATCCATAGAGACAGAAAGTAGATAACAGGCTGAGGAGGAGTGGGTGGGGGTAGGAGGTAAACTTCCAAAGGGCATGAAGTATATTTTTGTAGTGATGAAATGCTCTAAAATTATTGTGGTGATAACTGCACAATTCTGTGAATATACTAAAAATTGTTGAGCTGTACAATTTAAATGGATGAATTGTATGGTATGTGAATTATATCACAACAAAACTGTTAACAAAAAGAGAATATATGACTACATAAATATAATGTACACAGGAGCTTAAATTATATGAGTATTTTATTGTAATTGGCTGAAATGAATTATAACATTACAACAAATAATTAAAAATTTTGAGATAGATCATAAAAATATATTTCTATAAAAATGTGCTTTCACATAGACCTATTTATGAAACATTAAAAGTAGGGGTTAGTTTGATTCCCATTTCAAAAAAAAGTTCAAGAATTATTTCCATTTCAAATATACCAATATTTTAATGTCTACAGTTTGAAAGATAATAGCCTTCAAGTGAGAAATATCACTATTAAATTAGTGGTAATTTTCCCTACTTGTTGGTATTCTAAGGTGTTCTAAATCTTGTTTTACACATTTGAAAGTATCTAATTCTTTTGGTAACATATCTTTGTTTAAAAATCTTCAAATTGGATGCAGAAAGATTAGCCTGACAAAATATAAGAACCACATATATATTTAACACATAGTATTAAGATACTCTAAAATATGTTATTACTATCAAAGAATACATTTTTCCTAGTAACAAAATCATTCTTTTGTACATAGTAATAGTAATTGTTGCCAAGTTTATTAATAGTAGTAGAATCTGTCACACAGCACATGAAACTAAAATAAAATCAAAGTAAGAGCTTAAACCCTAAAGTATTTCAGGCATTTATTTTGATAAAAATAATAAAATACAATCTATTTTTTTATCACTAACTTAAACTTTATTACACTAAAATTTTAGAAATTTATATTCCACAAAACATTATAGAAAATAGATATATTTCATCTTTCAGTTTATTTTGGTTTTAAATTCACTTTTGAGAAAAGTTGACTCTCTAACTCAACTCCAGGTAAGTCAAGAACCAAGGTATACAATTTCTAGCTTAGGCTCTTATTAAGTGCATGCCTGAGACTATCTTTAAGGAAAAGAATTGTGGAATAAAGAACACTGGTAAGCCTGTGTTTTTTATATCAAATACCAGTATGTGAGCATAACTACTTTAAGATATGAGACCTCAGTTGTGCAATCTGAGTATTATGTCAGCTTTCATTTTATTAGATGTTTACATATCAAGTACTTACATTTTCAAAACTAATTTCTTCAATTGTGTTCTTAAATAATGGTATAAGTGATTCTACAGAACAGGTTGCCAACTCAGCTTCCTTAAATGTTGCTTCCAACTCAGTCTTTTCATTTAGGATGTCCTGCTTTAGACTAATTAGATAGGCACAAACAAAATTTAAGTTAAATCTGTCACATAAATAAGGTATATATTTATGCAAATATACTACAGCTTAAATAAAATATTATGGTTCCATAAATTGCTCTACAAACTGTATCAGTGACAATCGATGCACCAAGTGGTTGCCAGTTCAATTCCTGGTCAGGGCACATGCCCAGGTTGTGGGCCCGATCCCCAGTGGGGGGCATGCAGGAGGCAGCCAATTGATGTTCTCTCTCATCTATGTTGCTATCTCTCTCCCTCTTTCCCTTCTCCTCTCTCTAAAATCAGTAAAAAAAATTTTAAGTGAAAAACTATATAAAACACAAAGACCACCAACAGCAATGTTTTCACTGCACCATTTGATAATTATTCAACACCCCTTTTCTAGTTTGTAAAACGATTTGTGGGAGCGTTTGTCTTTTTCCTTCCCTTCCTCCTCCCTTACTCCAAACCCAAACGATTTCCCTTTCTAGACCTTATTCCCAAAAACCCTCTATTGAAATTTACTGCTCTTCATAAAAAATTCTCCAAGAATGAATAATCTAAACAAGTAAAAACAACTATTGCTCTCAAGATATCTAAAAACTCTTCACATTTGGCTTTATAATAATTATCATTCAGAACAAAACTGATAATATTTGCCTTCTTCGTAATGTTTTACCTAGACACTACTGTGCACCACTCTAATTTTTTGGCTGGTGCAGGGAGGCATCCATTTTTACATCCTGAAATCAGGATGCTTCTTACAATCTTTGTCACTCAGGAGGAAGTCCTGAGCTGTCTACCCTGCACATCCCCAAACTTATGGAATGTGTGTCCACTGCTTTGCTGAATATCCCAGAGATGGGGTGCCATACTTTTTTAACCCCTAGGAATAGTCACAGAAAGGGCTGAGGGAGCTGGTGAAGTAGGAATGTTTAACAACATTCTAGAAGCAAAACTCCAATATAGGCTTGCTGCATGTTATAATTAAGAGTCCAGCAGCAAGAAACGCTATTTCAGTTAAAGATGCTCCTAAAAATAATCCCATATCACCAAAAATCTTAATAGCAAGGACAACTCTTGAGTCAAAAAGTGACTCAGAAAAGTTGGACTTGAGTATAGAGAAGTTCTAAGAATACCTTAACTCATTTATTAATTTTATTTTTATTATAAGCACAGTGTTATTTAGAATAAAAATCTACATATAATTAAGGAGCTTTTTCAATATTTATAAATAAAATCACAAGTAGTGCCTTAATTGGAAGGTTTTTTTCTTTTTTTTTTATGGAACATATATAATAGCTCATCAGCATCTGATGGCATCTTAGAGGCTATGTCAAAAAGCAGATGATGTTCTTAAGCATCACTGGCTTAAAGAAGATTGTGGTTATGAATGACAATTGCCCATTATTAAAAACCATGGGCAGAAAGTATTTAATCATTATGTATAATCAAACCTTTTCATTTATAACAAGCTAAACTAGAAGCTGGACTATACCATCCGTACTAACAATAATGCTATTTTAAGATTGTCATTTTGGGGAGCTATGAGTCATATAAAAGCAAAGTATGACAGGTATTTCCAAATGACAGTGAATTGGTACTCATTAACAATATTTCCAATATTCCATAATTTGTATCTTCATTTACCTTAATTAAAATGCTTTAAACTTTACAAATTCTTAACAGGTAAGGTTTTCATTTTTAATTTCTTTCACTGAGAGTCTAAAAAACTAGCTAAATTCTGCTAAATAGGTATATTTTAATCAGATTAAATAAATATGCTAACTACCAGACTTGAAGAATATATTCCTGAAAGAATGTGTTTAATTCAAATAATTTACAATATGGGCAAAATATGAAATCCAGAAATCAAAAAATTAGATATCCCCTATTGTTAAGAATACCAGCTGAGATGACTTTCACTGGCCAGCTGTGGTAAGTGTTCTTTCTCTGGTCTACTTTTAAAATGGAAAAATAGTTCTTCTGAATGATTTTCATCATTCAGCGGTTTCTCCATAACTTCGGTCAATGAATTTATAGATGGGTTCCACAGCAACTTCTCCACATAAGCTGAAAGTTAGAAAATATTTTAGTTACTAAATTTATCATTTCATTAGATTCTTTTTTATGTCATAACCCTATAATAAAAATCTAAAGATGTGTAAAAAAAATTATCACAAATTGAAATTTGACAAATAGGAATTTTAATTGCCACTTGTAATACTAATGCAAAATCGTGTCAAAATTGCATAGCACAACCATTCAACAATTGCCAATTTCCATCGTTTTCAAAAGGCCCACTGTTTTCTATATAATCAAAGAATGTAGAAACTTTTATCTATTTCCTGAAGTATTAAAATATCTTAATCCAGTCAGACTACAAAATGGATATGACATGTGTTTAACAATGGTGCTCAGTTTCATTAGATCCATCCAATAGGAAATGTATGTTATTTATGCTTGGAACAGTAAAATTTAACATACTTTTGAAAGCATTTGACAATAGCTACAAAAAGGGTAAGTTATTCCTTTGAAAGTAGACCTTTCAAAATTAAATTAATTTACTCCTATTTCCCAGCTTAATCTAGGATAGTCTTTGGTGATGATGAATGGAGAGATGGCATTACTTCTAAGTTTTACTAATCAAATTGTTATCACCCAAACTGGAGATGTCCTTTTTAAAATGTGAATATTTCTGAATTTCTTTAACACTGTTCCAGTTTAAGTAATACATTAGTATTTCAGCAATCATTAAGGCTGTGTTTTCACAACTCTAATATATAGTAATGTGTCCTCTTGACTTAATTTTGTGTTTATACAAAATCAACTGTTACATTTAAGATCATTTGCATTTTTTCAGAGACAGTTTGCTCTTTGTAATTTATTTTTATATATCAAAGTTATAAAATAAATATGTTCAACAATTTTTAGTACTTTAGATAAATGTAAAATTATAGGTTGAAAGTTATTCACAATATTTAATTAGCAACTAATAAACCTTCCAAAGTATCTGTAAAATATATATATACATATTTATTATTAATCCTCGTCTGAGGATATTTTTCCATTGATTTTTAGATAAAGTGGAAGGGAGGTAGGGAGAGAGAGAGAGGAACATTGATGTGAGAGAGACACATCAATTGGTTGCCTTCCACATAACCCCGACCGGGGGCCAAGATCAAACCTGCAACCCAAGTACATGCCCTTGACCGGGAATCAAACCCAAGACCCTTTGGTCTGAGGACCAATGTTCTAACTGCTGAGCTAAACTGGACAGGGCTATATATATCTATTTTTGTCTGAAGATTCTATATACCACAAAGGCAAATATTTAGGTATAGGCCAATGAAGAGCATGCTCATATTTTAGAAATACCAGCAACTCATGTCCAAGTGAAACTGCTGAATAACCTATAATAGTCTAAGATGATCTTCTTGAATGCTGCAAACATGAAACATCCATTGTTAAAGAATAACAATATTTGAGCTATCTATAGTCTAGAAGAATTAAAAATATACAGATACACAAAATTAAATAAACCAAACCAAAGGGTGAAGAAGAATATGCTCTGGATTAAGTCACTGCAATCAAGAGAATTATCATCTCCTGCTTTGTTCAGTTACAACAGCTACTCTACTCAGGGAGGAATTGGTATTTATCTTTCAGCCATTTGCTTTTTTATATATTTGTTTCCCTGTACACTAGAATCTCAAGAAAGAATGTCTTGTTTATATTTGAATCCTTAGCACCTATAAGCCTTGTAAAAGTTAAGAAATAATTAAAGGAGAGGATTCCAGGCTTGGAGCAGTAATGAATAAAGACGTTTTACTTATTCACCCCTTGATTCATCTTTTGGGGAATCATTAAAAGAAAAATAGTTCCCGTATTTCGAATAAAATCTTTAAAAATCAATGTGAGCCCTGGCCGGTTTGGATCAGCGGTTAGAGCGTCGGCCTGCGGTCCGGAGAGACCCGGGTTCGGTTCCCACTAAGGGCATGTACCTCGGTTGCAGTTTGTCCCCGGCCCTGTTTGGTCGTGCGGGTGGCAACCACTCGATGTGTCCCTTTCACATCGATGTTTCTCTCTCTCTTCCTCTCTCTCCCTCCCACTCTGTCAGAACAAAAAATGGAAAACTGTCCTTGGGTGAGGATAAAAAAAAAAAAAAAAAAATCAATGTGAGGGAATAGGGATCTTCAATTTGTAGAAAATATTTTAAGAGATAAGATTCAGTTTGATATCAGTATTTAAATGAGTTCTTACTTAGCTTTATGGGCTACTGACAGCTACTTACACAATCTTTCTAAAAGTTTTATCACAAGATAAAATCATACGACATTATTCTGCTTCACCACCTATAAAAGTAACCATGTCTTATCTTAAAGGGTAAACAAAATTAAAACATTGTAAAAATAGGGATTTTAGAATGACTTTCCGCCCAACATTCTAAAAAGTTATCTTCATTACTGATTCCTCAAAATGGGAAACAGAAAACTATATAAATCAAGTCTCAGATAGTTCCATAGAAATAATCAACAATCATAGGCTTACAACGTAGTGTTTTCCAGGATAATGACTGTTCAGCAGTTCCAAGGCACTCCATTATCTTTGTGTTGTAACAGTACTATAACCGAAAACATATGTGTGCTGAACAACAATGTGGTAATTTTCTTTAGCATAAAAAGTTCTACCTTCATTTAAAAAATGCTATCATTTTACTGGACCAAATGCATTTTTTTATGGAAAAGCAGATGTTTCAAAAGAAAATGTTTTCAATTATGTAGAATAGACTGCCAATTGAGAAATGTATAAATAATACTTTTGTACAACTAGCTAGTGGTAAAACAAAGACATATTTCGCACACATATTTAATGATCAAATCCCTACAGATTGGCAATTTTAAATATTTTTAATGTTTAGCGAATTAAATTTCCTATACAGAGATGACTTTACCAGTCCCCTACCAAAAAAGGCATGTTCTTAAAGCTTTTTCCAGGAGTGGTCACGGATTTATGCTGATCCAGCTATACTCACTAAACTATGTTCCACTTTGGCCAACACGCATTTGAGGGATGGCTGTTCAGGGACTGTGATGCTGGCCATGGTCAGAGAAAAGAAGATCAATCCGTGACCTTCTTAGCACCTAGACTGTTCTAAGTAACCTAACCATCTGCAGACAAATATCTATTTAAAATTAATCTCTCTGATGAGAAAAGCGTATTAATATTGCAGATTTCTTTTCTTTTCTTTTTGACCAAACACTGATTCTTGGAAAATTAGTTCCCACTGGCTTCCAATGAAAGCGCACAAAACTTCTACAGAAAAAATTAATATGAAATATTCAGCGAGGAACACAAAACAGATAGAGGAATGCTGCTCCCTTCTCTCACTATTCTAAACACTAGTCAAAGTTTACTAGAGAAGTAATAGTATAGCTTTTTAGACTCCATAATGAAAAAATTGTTAAGAAATTTGAAAATAGGCAAAAAGTAAAAAATAACCAAAGGTGGAAAATTGATTTTACAAATAAAAGCTATCATAAATGGAAAAAATTTTTCTGATACAGAGAGTTTAACTTAGATACAGTCGTCCACCACTTGGGTTATGTTCTGAGAAGTGTGTTGGTAGGTGATTTCATCATTGTGCGAACATGATAGAGTGTACTTACACAAACCTAGATGGTAGAGCCTGCTACATACCTAAGCTATATGATAGAGCCTATTGTTCCTATGTCACAAGCCTGTATAGCATGTTACTGTACCAAGAGAAATGATGTAATCAAAAACAACATGGTAAGAGACATATGAAGAAATGTTCAACATCACTAATCATCAGAGAGATGCAAATTGAAACAACAATGAGGCATCACCTCACACCTGTCAGAATGGCCACCATCAACAAATCATCAAACAAGTGTTGGTGAGGGTGTGGAGAAAAGGGGACTCTAGTACACTGCTGGTGGGAATGCAGACTGGTGCAGCCACTATGGAAAACACTATGGTGTTTCCTCAAAAAATTAAAAATTGAATTGCCATTTGATCCAGTGATCCTACTTCTAGGAATATACCCTAAAAAGCCTGAAACACCAATCAGAAAGAATATATGTACCCCCATGTTCGTAGCAGCACTATTTACAATAGCTAAGATCTGGAAACAGCCCAAGTGTCCATCAGTAGTTGAATGGATAAAAAGCTGTGGTACATATACAGAATGGAGTACTATGCACCTGTAAGAAAGATCTCTTATCCTTTGAGATGACATGGAGAGACCTGGAGAGTATTATCCTCAGCGAAACAAGCCAAGCAGAGAAAGACAAATATCACATGATCTCACTTATTTGTGGAATATAATGAACATAACAGTCTGAGGAATTGGGTAGACCCAGAGATGTGGAAATAGGGTACAGACTGACAACCCTCAGAAGAGGAGGTGGGGGGAGGGAAGAGATAAACCACACAACTTATATGCATGTACGCATAACCGATGGACACAGACAACAAAGTCGGGTATGGGGTGAGGGGAACGGAGAGGAGGGTGTCAATGGGGAAAAAAGGAGAAACATCTGCAACAAAATAAATTAATAAAAAAATTTTTAAAAAAAGGTAAACAGACATATGAAGCTGCTGCTGGTGTAACATGCCATACTATTTTACAGCAAAATTTTTTAAGAGTATATTCTAAAATAATGATAAGAAGTGTAGTACAGTGAATACATAAACCAGTAACATAGTCATTTATTGTCATTATCAATATTTATGTACTATGCATAAACATATGCTATACTTTTATATAATGGCAGCACAGGTTTGTTTCACCAGCACCATCACAAACACATGAGGAATGTGTTGTGTTCCAACATTAGGATGGCTACGACATGACTAGGTGACAGAAAAATTTCAACTCCATTATAATCTTGTGGGACTATCATGGCCCATGGGGTTTAGTGTTGACTGAAATTTCATTATGCGGAGCATGACTGGAAATAATTATCTAACTCCTCTGTCCAATGAATACAGGAATTTAAATATAAAAGGGTTGCAGATTAGATAACATAGGGAGAAAAGATGACAGCAAGAGCAACTGGTTTGTAAATACTGAATTCGTACTTCAAGGCCCAATCCCTCCTCCTTCCCAAAACATCCCCCCAAATGCTCCAGATCACCAAGAATCCTAAACATCAAACAGTATTTTCAGAATCATACAGTTTAGAATTTAATTGCTCCATAAATGCCTGTTTTGTTGTTGTTGTTGTTGGACTTGTAGTTTCTGCCTTTGTGGAGTTCCATCTTATTCATCCTTCATTTCCTTGTACAGAACACTTAAAAACATTTTTTTAATATAAACTGAATTTATAATAGTGTTGTTGAAATCTGACTGGATTAAGGCAAGTTTGTATGTTATCATCGGCTGCGTAAATTCTTTTTTTTTTTGGTACGTGACCCTAGGGGGAACCGAATCCAGTACTCTCTGGTCCGCAGGCAGATGCTCCAACCGCTGAGCCAAACAGGCCAGGGCGGCTGCATAAATTCTTATATTTATTTATGCTTTAGTGTCTTATGGCTTTTGGTTTAAAACTGAGCTCTACCAGTTTTGTTTGTTTGTTAATCCTTGCCAGAGGATATTTTTTCCACTGATTTTTAGAGAGAATGGAAGGTGGAGAGAGAGAAAAACATCGATGTGAGAGACATATTGCTTGGTTGCCTCCCACATGTGCCCTGACGGGGGCTGGAAATCAAACCTGCAACCCAGGTACATGCCTGTGACTGGAAATCGAACCTGAGACCTTTAGGGTCTATAGGCTGATGCTCTAACCAGTATTTTGGGGGAAAAACAGATCAGAAGTGCATCTTTAAAAGATAAACCCAGTGTTATTTTGGAGAATGGACTTAGGCATATGAAAGGGAGGAGAGCAGAAGCAGTGAAACTGGTTATTAGGGTCTCAGAGAGATGAAATTTCAACATTTTTTCCTATAAAAATTTTTGAAGAAATCAAAAGCTGTTTCCACTGGTGATAAAAACATGAAGAATAATGAAGGAATTAGAATTAGAACGCCAAAATAGCAAGAGATCAGTACAGAAAGAAGGGATCAAATGTAACACCTCATTTACTCATAACTATCTGAATCGATTGCTCCATTTACAAGTTCCAGAAAATGCTAGCTTATCCCTTTAAGTGCCGAAATTAACTTAGACCAGATTGAAGAAAATCTTTTAAAAGAAGTATTATTTCTTCCTTTTCAAACAGAGTTCAGGTAAACTGGATATAATTTAATCATTCCTTGACAACCCAGATGCAGGATATTAAAATGAAAGAATATCGAGCAAGACTCATCAGTATTTCATCCTTATGAGCCATCTAACATGGGCAACCCTTAGCCACAATGGGCTTTGGTTTTCTCTTCTACAAAATGAGACTAACCTTTGTCAGCCAAAAATGTGGTGAGGTTCAAATAACATGAACAGGCAAGGTTTGTAAGTGTGTGTGTGTGTTTTATTTGGGGCCCCTCTGGCTCACTCTTGGGGCAGCTTTTCCACCAGGTCTTTCCTTTAAATTTTTTCAACTTTTTTTTTTTTTTTCTTTTAATAATCATCCTGAGTCAATAGCCATTCCTGGAATTACTTACAGGCTTGAATTATCTGTATAGAACCAACATATCTTTAAAACAAATTTTGAAGATCTAATCTTTGCAGAATTATTACAAATCATCTTCAATGTAGTCATAAACTGACTTCTACTAAACCAGAACCCAGGAGAAAACAATGACTTCCAACAGAATTGTGCCCATTGGGTAGATGTTATGTCAACCTCATCGCTATACCCAGCATCTTGGGTCTCATTTATTTGTACAGGACAAGCACAATGATTAATAGTAATATAAACAAAGCCATTTTCTTACACCCTTGGGAGTTTGAGATAGAAAAACTATACTATTAATACACATCAATTACAAAATCAGAGGAAAAAGAGAAACAAAAAATGGACACCTAGCTGTTCAAGAATTACAAACATGACCATGTTTTTAATGTAAGCAGAAGGGAATTTTTTTAAACATAACTAACCCAAATAGTGCTTAAGACTGCTCCAAGCACCTCATTCGTTCGAAAACACCTGAAACCTTATTATGCATGAGGTTATAGGGAAACTTTGTCTCCACAATAGACTTTATCCCCAACACCAGACAGCCTGGTTTCTCAGTAAACAAGCGGCACCACTTACTAATCACCAATACTCAAAACCTGGCACAGGTTTAATCTTTTTTATTACATCCACTCTAAAGTGACTATTACTGTCCTCACTTTACATAAAAGGAAAACTTGAAGCAGGGACCGTTAAATGACCTGCCCAAGGCCACACAGTTGAAGGGGGTTTCCTGGACGTTGGAACCTAGGACCCCGGAAAAGGAATTATTTCCCGAGGCTTCCAGGAGTGTTCCTCACGAGAGGAGCCCCAGGGCCTACTGTCCGAACGACTAAAAGCACCATTTCGTGAAGAAACCCCGCCACGCCCGGTCGCCAGGCCAGGGCTCGGTTCTGAAGGCCACCTAGGCTAATATCCACTCCGTAGTCCCGGGGCCTACACCCTCCCTCGGGGGACTAGCCTCGCCGCCACTTTCCCCGCCCAGGCAGCCAGTCTCGGGGAAGCGGAGGTTGTGCACACGGGGGCTGAGGTCTAGCCCTGGGTGAACGCAAGGACCTTCCACTTCCGGGACCCACCAATACTACCCCCAGACCCCCAAAAGCCATCCCCGGTCCCCGCCCACCCACCTTCCAAACCCAAAATTCCCTCGCCTAAAACCGCGCCTGCGTCCCCACCGCTGCGTCAGCACGTCGCCGTGACGTCACCCCATCTCCGCCGTGAAAGAGGAGCGGGGGCACCGCAAAGGCGAGGCTCCGTGAACGTTGGTAAGGCAACGGCCCGCGTACCTGTGCTCTCCAGCCCTGGGTCAGCTAGGAGGGGGCGGGCCGCAGAGAGCAGTGCAGTGGGTGAAAGCTAGGAAGGATGGACCCTGAGGCGGAAGCAGGCGAATTCCTAGAACTGCTTGCGGTGGAACCGTGCCCGCTCAAGTGCAGTGGGACAAAAGCGGAGCTGGTAACCAGCAAGTGGCTTCTCTAGCAACCGCCCCGCCGCCCCGCCCCTTCCGTCGGGTCAGCCGATGCAGCCAATTGGCTGAGCTCGGGGAAAACAAGCGCTGGCGCCTGTTGCCATTGGCGGGAGTGGGGGGCGGAGCCTGAGAGTGGCTCTTCGCCTTTCAGTTGGTTCTGCTAAACTTTTTCTCACATCCTCCCTCTCTTCCCCCCAAATCTTTTGTTTTACGGAGAGGGCAGAATTTGTATTACCTGAGCTCATCCAGAAGGGGATATAAGGTCCATAGATGCCGAGTTTTCTGACATTTGGCCTGGAAGTGCCCTATTGTGCTTTTTAAAGGGGAGATTTGAAGAAGCCAAGTCAACCACTACTGGAAGACACCTCTTTTTTTTTTTTTTTTTCCTTTTTCTTATTGATTTTAGAAACAGAGGAAGGGAGAGGGAGAGAGAGAAACATCATGAGAGAGAACATTGGCCGCCCCCTGCATGCCCCCCAACTGGGGATTTGGCCCACAACCTGGGCATGTGCCTTGACCGAAAATCCAGCCAGTGACCTGAGCCACGCCAGCTGGGCAGACACCTCATTTTAAATGTATGGAATTGTTAACTGAGATCCCCTGGTTTTCTTAGATTAAATGAGAGAGCTGGGTGGTTATTTCAAGATGCTTTTGAAGTCTCAAATTCTTTCAGTCTGTGCTTCAGCCAGTTGGTATGGTTTATAAACTCCAGAACAAGCAAGGCCAGATTTTTTTTGGAAAAGTATAAAACTTGATCCAACACCTCAACTTAAAGTTGATGTTAAGGACTCTCATATTCACGAGAACAACTATCAACTGAGTAATTTAACTCTGGTAGTTCATTATTGGTTTTACAAAAAAATATTTTTCATATATAATTCCAGCAATGCTTTTTCTTCCCAGTGGTGTGATTATCCAGCCAAAAGTTAATACTAATTGAAAGTTCATTTATACTAAACACAACTTTCATATATGCAAATGGTAAAGAACACTAGGGACTGAAGCTTTAAGTATCTACTCTCTCACTGATGTATCTTGACCTCTAGCAAGTCAACTAATGTCTCTAGGCCAGTTTTATCACAAAACATAAAATAAGATAAAAATAAAAAAGGACAGTTGGAGTTGAGACAAGATTTATAGTTTCAAAGGCCTTTCCAACATTAACCTAGGATTCCAGCTAACCTTGCTAATTTGTCATAATCAGAAAAATAATTGTAAATATAAGTTAGGTTAGTGTTATGAAAATTATTTATTTAAAATTGGTATTAGAAGAAACATTCACAAAATCTCACAATGATTACATAAGAGTCTCAAATTGACTAATTTAACTGAATTGTCCAGGTAAAGTAAATATGGGACCCTTCATTCCCTAAATCTAATCTGTTCCTGAAATCTGATTGGACAGTGAATTTTTAGAAAGAGCCCTTATTTTATTGTTCAATGGAAAATAATTCATTCCAGCCCATCCAAAAACTCCAATCAAGAGACCTAGCAGGTTCTGCTTTCCTCTTTTGGAATCCAGGTACCATATAAGAATCTTCCAACTATCCTGCTGTAGAATGAAATGCAGCTGGATCCCAGCTTTTTAAGTCACTTGCCTGAAGTGCCAGACATGTGAATTGTTAACTTTCAAGACCCAGCCATGTTCCCATCAAATGAAGCTGTGTGAGTGACCCTAGCCAACACCATGGTTTTTTGGAGACAGAAGATTAATAAGGCAGGGATACAAATATAAAATTAGCATAGTGTATTAGGTGTGCTATGCTCTAAGAAAGATAAAGGGTTAGCTTTGTTGTTTGCTTTTTTAATTTTTATTTTAGGCTTGTCTACTTTGGATAGGCATTATTCAATATAGGTCTTTTCTCCTCTACATTATTGAAGCTAAGCATAATCCTTTTGTCTGAAAGAAAATCACTTGGTCTTTCATCAAAATGTCATTTAGTTTACATATTAAACCACTTTATGTACATGTTTCCAAACATTGATTGGCACTCTTTAGAAATGCCAATGCTATTTTCTAAAGTGCTTTTATTAGTTGTAACATTTTGGAAAGTAACAGGATACCTGACTAATGATGGCTTCGAGAACAGGAGCTTCCAACACCTCACACAGTGAGAAGTCTGGGTTAGGCTCTCCCCAGATTGGCTCAGCGTCACCAGTGTCATCAGGGACACATGCTCTCTATACCTTTCAGCTCTACTACCTTCACTTTCGGACTGCCCTCCTCGCCTTCCACAACTGCCATAGAGGCTCTCTCAGCTTCTGGCACCCTCATTGAAAAGAAGTGTGGGATTTTTCTAGACTTTTCCCTTTTTTTTTTCATGGAGGAAAATCTTTTCTATGAAGGATTCCAACAGCAATGTCTCCTCCATCTGCCTCCTTCTAGCAGACTACTCCTTAGGTTACTGGCTGGAGTCAGGGTCACATAGTCGTGCCCCAGTATGAGGGAGGCTTGGGAAAATAAGCATCAGACATGTTTGATCCCTGTAATAAGATGGGTTCTGCCAGCATGAAAGGGCAAGGGGCTGAGTATTCAGTAGGAAACTAACAGTGCCCAAGCAGGTGCCATGCACTTGGGAGAAAGGTCATAATTAATATGGATTAATATTTATTAAACTCTTACTGTCCTAGAAGCTATTTCAATCACTATGTGTTATTTAAACTTTATACCAATTTCACAAATATAGAAACTGAGGCATGGAACTATTTAATAACTTACCTAAAAGGCATGCAGCCAGTAAAAAGCAGAGCCGGGCCCGGCTGGTGTGGCTCCGTGGTTGAGCATTGACCCGTGCGTGCACCAAGAGGTCGTCAGTTTGATTCTTGGTCAGGGCACATACCCAGGTTGTGGGCCAAATCCCCAGAGTGGGGAGCATGCAGGAGGCAGCCAATCAATGTTCTCTGTCATCAATGTTTCTCTCTCCCTCTCCCTTCCTCTCTCTCTGAAATCAATAAAGGGGAAAAAAAAAAAAAAGTATCCCAGCTGACAGTAACTGACAATTACATTGATAATTAACTATAGCTACCATTTATGGAGCACTACAGCCTTGTGTTATAAACTTGGACTATATTTTTATGTCACTTGACTTCATATAACTACAGATCTCAGATTATTTTCATGTCATATTTTCTCATTTTTATCTCTCTGTTGTCAGAATTATGCTAGGCACCTTTGGGCAGACAAAGAAGTACTTAGTGATTCCTCTCTTATTAAACTTACAAGCTGAGGGGCTTTTATTTCATCTCCACAGCAAAATTATTAGTGGAGAAGGAAAGGGAAGTCCTAGACAGCTGAAGAAAGGGTAAATGAAGACAATCAAAACTGTCTGAGCTCTGTACATCTCCACTATCTCACCTGCATTCAGCCATAAGCCCGTTACTGGCCCCTGCTTCTACCTTTGTCTTCTTCACCAAAATAAACAAATAAATAAAACGGGAAGTCTAAAAGTCGGATGGATTGTGTCTCTCCACTGTGCACTAGACAGGACTTCCATGCCAGAGCTCCCTGCAGTCTTGGGACCTTCCCACGGCAGCTCTCGGGGCTCTCTTCTGGGCTGACTCCACTCCAGGCACCCACGGCTGCAGAGCCTTCGCACTTGTCCTTCCCTTTTCCTGTACCCTTTCTCTCTCAGATGTATGCATGGTCCCTCCTTCACTCTGGGAGGCCTATTCCGACCACCTGATACAAAACAGCAAACCCCAACTTCCACTCTCTCATTCCTTCTGGCCCAAGACCTGATTTCTTTTCTCCATAACACTTTCACTAAATATCCTATTATATTTGTTGTCTCTCTCCCTTCTCTGGGATGTAAGCTCCATCAGGACAAGGACTTGGCCCATTTCATTCACTGTTATATCCAGCACTTAGAACAGTGCCTGGCACCTGGCTGGTGTGGCTCAGTGGACTGAGAGTCACCCCATGGACTGAGAGGTCCCGGTTGATTCACAGTAGAATCAGTCCCCGGTAGGGGGCATGCAGGAGGCAGCCAATTGATGTTTCTCTCTCACATTGATATTTCTATCTCTCTCTCTGTTCCTTTCTACCAAAAATATATCAATAAAAACATAAAAATTTTTAAAAAGAACAGTGCCTAGCATCAAGTAGAAACACAGTTTTACGTTTTTTACAATTTTCTTTAGGTATATTTGACACAATTTAATTTTTGAGTGAATGAATGAATGAATGAATGAGTGAATGAATGAAAAAAGAGAGAAATAGAAGTTAAGGAAGCATTCCCCTATTTGAGTAATGTACATCTTTGGGAGTTACTTGCTTAAGGCTACATATTGGAGATCATTAAAACAATCTTATGGCTCAATAAGAAAATAGATTAAAGTTGAGGCACAGGCTTTGATAATAATGATTGTGACTTTTGAAATTTAAAACCTACATATCTGTGTTGCTGGTGTGTGTGTGTTTAACTCTGTACTCTGTAGTTGTTTCTTTTAAAAGAAACAATGGTGTCACCATAAAATGCATAATTAATGCAATACTTTTCCCCTTGAGTTCTGAAGAAAACACAGACCTTTCCCATAAGATAAAAAAAATGTAGTTAAAGACTACAAAGACTGTCACTTTCTGGTGTAAGAGCTGTAATCACCAAGAAAATCCCTGGATACTCCCTGGGAGTGCTTGATGCAAAGACTACTCCAACTGTGTAGCTCAAGGACCTGCAGCCTCAGCAGCACCTAAGAGCTTGGTAAACCAGCAGAATATTGATTAGAAGGTCATTAGCAGGTTACAAGTTCCATCTCTAGTAAGGGTCCCAAGAATCAATCAATGAATGCATAAATAAGTGGAACAACAACTTGATGTTTCTCCCTCTCCCTTCCTCCCTCTCTTTCTAAAATTCAATTTAAGAAGACTTGAAAAACACTACTCTAAATAGCACCCTGGAAGGAAGTCTCCTGCAGGTCAATTTCGTCTAGACTTTTTTCTGGAAATTCAGAGCCCCTGGTACCTACATCCCCTGAAGAGAAGGGAGAGTCCTAATGCCCCCATTGCCAGATCTTTCAACCAGTTGCAGTTACTTCTGCTTTTTGCAGGGCTGGTGGGGTAAAATGGAGTATAGACTAGCAGAGGAGAGGAAGGAAAGTCAAAAGACCGGTTGCCCCCTGGGGCTGGAGTTCGGAGCAGCAGGGAATTCTGGCAGAGCCTGGAGCTTCAGACTTGGGGAGGCCAGAATCAGAGCAGGAAGAAAATAGAAGGGGCGACTAGGAAAACAGTCAAAATTCTGTGTTTCTACTTTAATTTATTGCTCTCCGGGTCTCCGTGGTTATTTTTCATCTCTTTAAAAAATGTCACCTATATTTCTGCCATCTCTTTCTTTTTTTCTCTGAAAAAAAAAAAAAAAATGATAGGAATAATGATAACATCTTATATCCGCATGATTCTATTATGATGAGCTATAACAGATAAAATATTTTATAGAAGGCAGTTTTATGCCCATTTGGCAAATGAATATTCCATATTTTCTTTACTGGCTTAACATTAAAAGTAGTTCTTGTTTTTCATTTATTTTGGTAAACTTTAGAGGATATTTTTCATGTACAAAGTCATCTGCAGGGTTATTGCCACAGTGAGGGTGAGGAGGAGGCTTAATAGCAAAAGCCTGGAGGTAAAAGGCTACATGGGGAGAATTCAGGAAACTAAAAATGAGGTGTAAGAGCTCCACGCTTTGGAATTGTGGTCAGCAAACACAAAGCACTTCGCGGACACTATCTGAACCCTTCACTCCTTTTCTTTGAAAATGAGTACAGTCGTCCCCCCCTTACCCACGGGAGGCATTCCAAGACCTCCAGTGGATGCCGGAAACTGTGAACAGTACTGAACCCTAAATACACTGTTGTTTCCTATACATCCATATCCATGATAAAGTTTAATGTATAAATTAGGCACAGCAAGAGATTAGCAATAACTAATAATAAAGTAGTACAATTGTAACACTCTACTGTGATAAACGTCATGTGAGCGTGGTCTCTCAAGATAGCTTACTGTACTATACTCTCCTTTCCACTTACAGGACGCACTTCCTGGCTCCTCGTTGGCATACCGAATTGCCAGCATCACAACTCTTGCCATTTTGGAGCCATTATTAAGTAAAGTACAGATTACGCCGGACAGGGATGATTCACAGCCTGGGCAGGATGGAGCAGGACAGCATAATATTTTATCATGCTACTCAGAACGGTGAACAGTTTAAAACTTCGTAATTGATTATTTCTGCAGTTTTCTATTTAATATTTTCAGATTGAGGTTGACTGCAGGTAACCGAAACCACATAAAGTGAAACCATGGACAAGGGGAGACTGCTATATAACTTTAAAGAAAATAGGTAAGGAAGGTATGAAATGTGCCATCTGGGTCCTTGGCAAACTTTGGTTTTATTTAAATTCTTAGTCGTCCAGACACATGGAAGTAGGGCACAGACTGACATCCCTCAGAAGAGGGGATGGGGGGTGGGGGGGTGGGAAGAGATAAACCACAGAACTTATATGCAGGTATGCATGACCAATGGACATGGACAACTAAGCCGGGGACAGGGTGGAGGGGGGTAGGGTGGGGGGTGCCAATGGGGTAAAAAGGTAAAATATCTGTAACAAAAAAATAAATAAAAATTCATAATAAAAAAAAAAACAAAATTAAAAAAATAAATAAATAAATAAATTCTTAGTCTTAACAATTTGTCTCACTTCTATTTTTATTTATCCCGAAACCTAAGTGACCATAAGTCTTATAGCCCAGCTGCACAGTAGTGTCTAGTTTCCTCTTCTGAATGGGATTGCAGCAACACTTGTAACAAAAACCTGAGAGGTACGAGTCCAAAGTTTATTTGGACTCCTCAAGATGTGAGACCTCCTGACTTCTCTGACACCCATTGCATATTTTATTCACTTTGACTGTGGGTCTCTACCAGCAGACTCTAGTTAATAAAAAATAGAGGCCTTTTTGGGACAGGCTGAACTGAACAATCAGACAATGAACAAAGATGTGCTTTAGATTCTTTAGTTACTGAAATTGAATAACTTATTTTCTTGAAAGCAGATAAAAGCGGAGCAGATTCCTATAGTTTATACAACATTGAAATAAATGCTTGAACATTGTACTCCCTTTTTATTTTCACTTCAGGCATATTTCATTTCTTAGATATCGTAACATCTATAGACATGAGCAGTGAATGTTTTTTTTTAATGAAAGGATAAGTTGTTCTTTCTGTTCTCAAAGTCGCACTTTGTCAGAGGTGAACGCTCTGATCAGGAATGACTTGTAAGTCATTTGCTCAAGTCAGTTTTCTCCTGCAGGGCTAGCTTGGCCACAGGAGAAAGCAGTGAGAAGAGATTTTCAACAGGCCTGGTTGCTGACAGCAAGACAGTGTTACGAGGAGAGGTCAGAACAGGGCTGGTGGGAACAGGCTTTCAGGAGTGCATGTGACTCTCTCGAGACGGTCAGGACTGGGTCAGTCACTGGGAATCTTCCAAGGGGCAGATGATGAAAGTGGAGTCCGGTCAGGTGGCCAGACCTGGGGATTGGGTTCCAGAACCAAGGAAGAAAAAGCAGATAGACAAGAATGAACGTCATGCCTGGACTCTCAGCCCAGGGTAAGCGAGGCCTGAGAGCGTGTTCAGGTTCGAACCCAGGTGATGTCGAACCAGATTGTTCACTTCGGTCTGTTCTTTACAAAGCTGCGTACACTCTGCAGCCAGCATTCCCCACCCCCCACCCCCCCACCCCCGTTCTAAGGGAGCCATTGTAATAGTCGGTAAGAATAAGAAAAGAGAGAGCTGGAAGTCAGCCCTCCGTGACCCCTCAGCCAGTGAACTCCTTGTACATGTCGGCATGGTGGCAAGCAGAAACTCTTCCCTGATTCTGGGCCAAAAAGCTACTCTCACAGTGTGCCTTACAAGTTTAGTTTTTAAGCATATTTCTTTGCTGATGGAAATCATGTTTTCTTAACATCACAAGAGATGGCCATAATAAAATAAACTGCCAAGAAAAGTGGAAAATGAAGTGCATTGTTCCACTCACTGAGTCACACAGTTACAGGCAAAGCCTTTGGAATTGCCACACCTGTGGATTTCTGTTCCGGAGACGCCGTGAGCCCGCAGGAAAAACCCACAGCTGGGAATTAGCCGCTGAAGACAAGAGAGCTGAACTGACTCCTGAGCTGTAGCTTGAGTAACTTTGGCAGCAAGTGATGACCAGCGACATTCCGTTCCCCTCCACACCCAGGGGGAGCACAGGCCCGAGCTGCGAGCTGTCAAGAGGGAGCACGAGGGAAACCGGGGCAGCACAGAAGAGACACCTTCTAGAAGGAAGAGCATCAAAGCGGGGACAGGGCAGAGTGTTGTCTCACTGTTAAGTCATGACTCCTTCGTAATCTGGCTTCTGTTTACTTCTCCTGACCCTACTTATTCATTCAACACATATTTACTGAGAGTTTACTGAGCTAGGTGCTGAGGAGGTCGTGATCAAAACAGTTAGGGTCCCCTCTCTCATATGCCCTTCAGCAGGAAACAGACTACCAATTGCACAGTATAAACATGACACTGTAACCAGAATCATACTTCAGAGGAAAGGGATCTGATGCTATGAACGAGGGGATCTGACAGCTCAGCTACAGGCCAGATCTGGAATCTGAAGGAAAGCAGGTGAGAAGCGGTGAGAGAAGAGGTTTCTAAGTACATGGACAGCAAGAGAAAAATGCCCTTCGATACCCCCCTTAACATTAATTTCTGGTTTCTTGAGAACATGCAAGAACATGATATAGTGAAAAACAGTGAACTTCGAAATCAGTTGGTCTTGTCCTTGCACAATGACAACACTTGTATACTTTGAACAAGTTACTTAGATTTGCTGAGCCATAAAGTAGGTGTGATAAAACCCATCACACGATAAATGTTCGTTCCTGCCCCCACTGGCTAATTGTCATAATCTTTCTGAGACTCAATGTCTTCATTGAAGAACAGAAGTAAAAATTAGACCTGTATCAGGGAACTGATATTTAAATAGGTTCACTTGTAAATTCGAAAGCATTATGTAATCATCAGGCATTAGTAATCACTCATAAAATATTTGGGAGGCCTACGCCATACCAGGACCTGTGATAGGTCCTGGAGAAATGGGAGATTGACTGAGGCAGAGTCTCACCCTCAGGAGAGAGTTGCTGAAAGAGAAGTTCATTCTTTTCCCTGCTCCAGAGGAAAAAGGCAGCCAGGGCAGAGGGAAGAGCCCCTGTGGCCTGCACAGGCATCCAAGTTCCTGGCACTTGGCCCTCCCTGGGGGATATCTGATAGCTTCCCCCCCAGCCATTAGCTGAGAGCTTGCCCAGACTATTTGACCCAAGGGCCCTAGGGACAGGGCTGCAGGATTGATTTCTAAAACTTCAAAATAACCAGACAAGGGAATCTCAACAACCAACAAAATATGACTCGTGTGCAGTAGGGAAGCAGTTGTGCTGACTGACGAAGACTGCCAAGGCTAAGGAGAGGAAAGTCACTATCGATTTCTGTCTCTACTGAAAGTGGATTGAACAATCCAGCTGCTCTGATTTCCAGCTCAACCACCCGGGCCTCCCTCTCTCAAGCTCCTTTTGTCTTATTTTCCTCTTCCTTCTGAAAAAATATAAAATGAGTACGAGGTGGAAGACTTATTGCCCAACCATGATTTAGGAGAAAGCTCAGCCACGGAACAGGCGTGTGTGGCATTACCTAGAGAAACAGGACTTGCAGAGGCAGGTCTCAGATAGATCCACCCTGGATTTTGCAAGGAAGGCACCTCCTTCATCACACGTTCTAGGACCTTCACGTTGAGGAAGAAACTATTGGCTTCCCCGTGACAACCCGGCACAATGCACTTAGCAGGAGCAGTGTGAGTAAACCAGAAGCTTCTCTACAACATGACCCACAGGGACAAAGCGGGCACTGTTTGCAACCTGAAGATTGTGACTCTCCTGGTGGCCCTAAGTCCAGAACTCCTATTCCTGGGAGCCGGAGTGCAGCTTCGAGACAACGGGTATGATGGATTACTCGTTGCAATCAATCCTCAGGTATCTGAGGATCAGAACCTCATCCCAAACATTAAGGTGAGTGGAAAACATGAAGTCAAAATTATTATCCCATTAGAACAGACCCGTAGCCTTCTTTAAGGAGCTAAAACAACCCCACCTGATTTGTAATTTGAGCAGTAAAGAGAGCAGTGTTTCCAAAAGATTGCACCAAAAATTATAATTATGGCCAAGCCAGTGTGTTCACCTAATTCTGTGTAGTTGCAGTTCACAGACTGTTGATCCGGTCCTCTTTTGTTTTCTATTGTTGATTACTACTAATTTTCGTGTTTTTGTTTTCCTACATGACTGTTTTGGGGGTAGCAACATAAAAAATAACGCATTGTGGCAACAAAGACCAGATGTTTGACTGATGAATAAGCATGATTTTGTGCTTGTTAAAATCGTATTGTTGGAGTCCATCCTGTGGGTGAGCATTCTCAGACGGAAAGAGTGACAGTCTGGGTGGAGTGCCAAAGAGCAAAAGTCTTTCTTTTTTACCTGAATGTTCTCTAATTGACTGTTTTCACCTTATAATAAGAAGGATCATAGCCCCATTATTTACAAGCCTCCTTTTGGTAATGCTTTAGTGAAAGTAGTAGCATTATAAGGTGTGGTCTTGAACATGCCCGCAGGTGTAACATGAAAAGAATTTGTTCGGTAAAAGCTTAAAAGCCTTTCACAAAATTGGAAAAATTATATAGGCAAGCCCAGACGCATAATTAGTGTCCTAAAAAAATCTCTTCTAAATAACCATATAAGTTTATTTATTTTATTCCTAAATTTTCTAGAAGCCTAATGCTGTCTCTACAAGAAATGAGCTCCTTCAAAATACTCCCATTGTTTTTTATTACTGCTTTATTCAAGTGTGACCAGAAAACTCAAACTCAAAGGGTTTACAATGATAAAATAAGCTTTTATTTTATTTTGTTGTAGGAAATGATAACTGAAGCTTCTTTTTACCTATTCAATGCTACCAAAAGAAGAGTGTTTTTCAGAAATATAAAGATCTTAATACCTGCCACATGGAAAGCTAATCATTACAGCCAAGTTAAACAAGAATCATATGAAAAGGTAAGAATTCAGAATTTCATTAAATGGGCTTAAATAAAGGGAAAAACAAACAACCAAAATATACTGTGTTCAAACTTTAAAAGCGAGAACTTCAGCAAAAGTAAATCATTGATATTAATAAGCAAATAATATTATTGGGGAGATGGTTAACAATAAAATGTATAGATGTATAATAAAGGAATGTAAATCATGCACTAAAAATAAAAATAAGCAAAATACCATTGCCCAGGTAGCTTCTCAGATGATCTCTTTACTTTGTAACTTTCAGGGTCTTTCCTGAAATTTCTGGCTAAGGACTAAACACTAGTTTTATCTACTGAGCATGAGCTCCAAAGGGAACAATTCTTATTATGACTATCTTTATCTCCCATCCTAGCACGGCGGTACACAAGCATGTCCAGAGAGAAACACTGGCTGCCCATGCGTATAAAAAAAATGACTGTCTTCTGTCAGAGTGTAAATTAGCAGAAGTTCACATTACCCCAAGTCTAGGACAGTTTTTGAGGAGTGTGTTGATAAGAAGGAAGGCAGAAAGTGGGGAGGAAGGGAGTGGCTACCTTCTCTTTTCCAACCAAAATAGAACTTAACCTTCAAAGGATTCTGACAAGCTATAGATTATAGTCAAACATCCATGATGATGTCTGGCACATATGGGTGTGCACGCTATAAATAAATGGTAAATAAATTGGGCAAATCACTGTTTGAAGTTACTGTGAACAAGAGCCCTGATAACGACCAGTGGGGGCAGAAGCACAGGCATTGCAAACATAGCTCAGGATTTCAGCAATGGAGTGGGTTCGAGATCTACAACTACAGCTCAGACAGAAGGAGCAGGACATGTGCGACAGTTTCCTCTCCGCTTATTTGTGTCATTGGTATGAAACTTCCTAAGCCTGTTTTCACTCTTAGCTCTCCTTTGAAATTACTCTCTCAGGAATTGGATGGTATAGTAATCTAGATGGGCACCTCAGTGTTCTGAAGAGGTTACAGAGGCTCTGAGAAGCATTTGGTTTATAACCAGATGAAAGCATGTTACAGTGCTTTGGCATGAAGATAGGAGAGATAGAGGACCTGGGATAAACTGGAAAGAGAGCTACTGCTTTTTAAGCTTCAATTAAGTGTCAGGAATTCTACATATATGTAATGTTGAATCCCCTCCCACCTTAAAATTAGTTGCTGTTATCACAAATTGGGATAGTAGGTTCAAATAAATTAAGCATTTTGTTCCAAGTCAAACAGCTAGTACATTTCAGAGCCACAATTTGAATCTGTCTATTTGATTCCAAAACCCATGTTCTTTGCACCAAGCTACGTGTCTCTAGCTATCTATGTAGATTGCATAAATCAATTTGGCCATCTGTGGAACAAAGATGTATTGGAGATAACCAACCCCAAAACCAAGTTGGGCTCCTGATCCTAATGAAGAAATAAATAACTAAAGCAAAATGAGAATATGACTGAACAGAAAGAATGAAGGAAAGAATAGTCATTAAAAGGCTGTTCATATATCTGTAGGATACCAATTTCTTTAACCTCATAATGTCAATTAAGTCAACATTTAGTGCATAATTATGTACAGAAGCTATGCTAGGCACTGCAGAGGACTCAAGGACAGGCAAGGTGATACCTGTCCCTGTGAATCTACAGTTGAATGTAGGTAGGGAGGAGGGGAGGGGAGGAATGGTTAGGAATAACAGGCACGCACTGTGTGACTATGGTCTATAAGGTACAATGTTAACCCCAAACAGCCTGAGTATTCCATCCCAAGTGGAGCACTTTCCCTTTTGCTTCAGGACACATTTTTAGAAATAGAAATGAGATATTGTCCAAATGAAGACTAGGAAAGGGCTTGACACCTGTAGCTCTTTTTGTAGCTGTTGACTTGCAAAACCCTTGGCTTGGATTCCTATCTTTCTAAAAATAAATTTTAACTATTATAAAAGTATTTTGCCCTGGCCGGTTTGGCTCAGCGGTTAGAGCGTTGGCCTGCGGTCCAGAGAGACCCGGGTTTGGTTCCCGCTAAGGGCATGTACCTCGGTTGCAGTTTGTCTCTGGCCCTGGTTGGTCGTGCGGGTGGCAGCCACTCAATGTGTCCCTTTCACGTCGATGTTTCTCTCTTTCTCTTCCTCTCTCTCCCTCCCACTGTATCTGAACAAAAAAATGGAAAAATGTCCTCAGGTGAGGATAAAAAAAAAAAAAAGTAATTCATTCTCATTGCAAGGAAATCAAGCAATGAAGAATCATGGAAAATACAATGAAAATATTACCTGCCTCTTCTCCTCAGTGCACACACATGCACACAGGCATACGCACACAGCATTACACATACAGTACAAATAGTGGTTATTATATATAGACATGTATATATATTTATAGGATCATATTAGGTCTATTGTTTCAAAATAAGATTAAAAAGAAAAAACAACATACTTAACTTCTAAGGGTAAGTCCTGAGACAATGAATCTTTCTTTCTAAAAATAAAAGAAACAATGTTGCATATAAAATTGTGTTCTATAAATGGTTATTTGAGTAAATATTCATGTTAGTTGTTGACTTAAAATATTGTTCTAGCAATACTACTTGAGATGGTCATGTTACAAGATGAAATATGGCATCAATAGCATGGTTGTTTTGCTGATCTATTGCTAGTGGGAAAAAAAAAAAAAAAGGACAACGCTTAAAAGAAACACATCCTATTGTTTGGCACTGATTAAACAACCCTCATAAAGTAGTTCACAAAAGGCTGCAACATGTTACAATACAGTTCTGAATGATGTGTAAATGCTCTTAAAATTTCTTCAAATATTTTATTATATTTTATACTGTTTTATAATGTCAGATTTTTACATTGTTGACTTTTGGGAGAAAAAATCTGTTCTGACTAAATTTTATTATATAATTTGTTATTAAAGTATAATCATCATATAATCATATATTAGTTTCATGTGTACAATATAGTGATTCAACATTAGTATGCATTGCGAGATGATCCCCACAATAAGACTAGTTACCATCTGTCACCATACAAAGTTATGTACTATTATTGATTAGATTTCCCCACGCTGTACTTTACATCCCCATGATGGTATTTTATATCTGGAAGTTTATACCTTTGATCCCCTTTACCCATTTCCACACCCCCAACACCCCTCTCCTCTGACAACCACTAATCTGTTATTTATGAGTCTGGTTTTGTTTTGTTTTGTTTTTTAGATTCCACATATAAGCAAAATAATGCAGTATTTGTCTTTTTCTTTCTGACTTATCTCACTTAGCATAATGCCTTCCAGGTTCATCCAACTCACGGTAATGGCAAGATTATATTCTTTATTATTCCATTATATATATTCTTTATCCATTCATCCTTTAATTGACAAAGGATTTTTCAATATGTTGGCTATTGTAAACAATGCAATGAACATAATGTGCATATATCTTTTTGAATTAGTGTTTTTATTTTCTTCAGATAAATGCCCAGAATTGGAATTGCTCAATCATGTGCCAGTTTTATTTCTAATTTTTTGAGGAAACTTCATACTGTTTTCCATAGTGATTGCACCAGTTTGCATTCCTGCCAACAGTGCATAAAGGTTCCCATTTTTCTGCATCCTCATGAACAATTGTTATTTCTTGTCATCTTTATAATAACCATTCTGACAGGTATGAGGGGGTATCTCATTGAGGTTTTGAATCACTTTTGTCTGACTAGTAGTGATGCTGAGCCTCTTTTCATATGCCTGACGGCCATCTGTATGTCTTTGAGAAAATGTTTACCTTTACCTTTGTAAAACAGATTTTTTGTTATGGAGTTATATGAGTTATTTATACATTTTTAATATTAATCACTTATTGGATATATGATTTGCAAATATTTCCTCCCATCTAGTATGTTGCCTTTTGTTTAGTTGATGGTTTGTTTCCTTCGCTGCAAAAGCCTTTCAGTTTGATATAGTTCCATTTGTTTATTTTTGCTTTTGTTGTCCTTGCCTCTGGAGCCAAAAGAACAAAAACAAACCCGAAGTTGCTATGCATTATAATCAAGTCATCAATCCGTTTTGAGCTAATTTTTGTATGTGGTGTAAGATAATGGTCCAGTTTCATTCTTTTTCAGTTAGCTATCCAGTTTCCCCAGCACCATTATTGAAGAGACTGTCCTCTCCATTGTATATTTTCCATGATTATAAATCAATTAATCGTTTATGGATGATTAATATCTGGGCTCTCTAGCCTGTTCCATTGATCTATGTGTCTGTTTTTATACCAATATCATACTGTTTTGATTATTGCTATAATTTTGTAACATAGTTAGAAATCAGGAAGCATACCTCCAGCTTTGTTCTTTCTCAAGACTGCTTTAGCTATTCAGGGTCTTCAGTAATTTCATACAAATGTTTAAATTATTTGTCCTAGTTCTTTGAAAAATGCCATTGGAATTTTGATAGGTATTGCATTGAATCTATAGATTGTTTTAGAGTATGGCTATTTTAACAATATTAATTGTTCCAAACTATGAGCACAAAATAGCTCTGCATTTATTTGTGTCTTCTTCAAAATTTTTTATAAGTGTCTTATAGTTTTCAGTGTACAGGTTTTTAACCTCTTTGGTTAATTTATTCCTAGGTATTTTACTTTTTTATTCAGTTATAAATGGATTGTTTTCTTAATTTCTCTAATAGTTTGTTGTTAGTTAAATGCAACCAATTTTTCTGTAATAATTTTGCACCCTGAAACTTTATTGAATTCATTTATTAGTTCTAACAGTTTTTTTGGTGGAGTCTTTAGGATATATATATATATTTATATATTTATAAATTTATATATATATATAAATTTATATTTATATATATATATATAAAATATCATGTCATCAGCAAATACAGTACTGATTCCAATTTGAATGCCTTTATTTCTTTTCTTTGCCTAATTGCTCTGGCTAGGACTTCTAATACTATGTTGAATAAAAGTGGTGAGAGTGAGAATCCTTATCTTGTTCCTGATC